CATCGGTGGGCTTCTACGACAAATGAAAAATGAACCCTGTCCATAAAGGAATAGTTTGTCCTGTCGCTTACAATTGTAAATATCCATCAAACCAAAAATCAAGAAAACATCCATGTCTGATCGACAGTATACACTTGCCATGATCAAATGATTATAGTTTGTGGAAGGTTTCCGATTGTAGTGATAGTTATGAACTACAGACTAGTCTGTATAAATAAATTGATTTTATATCTGAACTAGGGTTAGCATTGATATCGCACTGCTTATGATAAAATGCTTTTTCTGTAAATTTATATTTGTGATTAATGAATACAGTTGGAATCTCCATTAAGATTTAGAGTGGTGGTAAGACAACTTACTCTTTACCTGGATTTATTTTTTTGTCTCATTGGCAATCGTACCACATCTTATTTTTATATTGCGTTTCCCTTTTGAAATGAATAGACTTTGCATTTACATATAATTATTAAAATAAAATGTTTTCCTTGATGAACTTCATATTAAATAAGATCTTATGATTTAATTATAAATTTATAAATATGTCAAAATATTAAGGTTGGATAACCCAAGGCATATATTTTTTTAGCCAGATTATGCTACTTTTTTTATGCTGTTTAACTTCATTATTGATTCTGTCTCCCCCACTGTGATGCTTTTAGAAATAATGAGTCTTCTTCCATATATGCGGAGGGATGTTTTGCGACATCTCAATCATATATCTTAAGCCAAAGTAGAATAAACAAACAAACAGCAATACGCAAAGTAAAAATCGGTTTAAAAGAAGTCCGAGTCCGATGTTAGAATAGGTAACATAAGAAACTAATCAAAATGACAATGACATTTTGGCACAATTTAAAATAATTCGGTTCATACCTCCGAACTTCTCTTACATATATAAAAATAAGAATATGTGGTAAAATTGCCAAAGAGACAACTCTCCACAAGAGACCAAATGACACAGAAACTAACAACTATAGGTCAATGTACGGCCTTCAGCAATGAACAAAGCCCATAACGCATAGTCAGCTATAACAGGCCCCCTTTTTACTACAACATAATGCATACATGGAACTGTTGTTGTTCTAATATGGCTATCAGGCATTTCTTAATACTGTTAGGTGAATCATTTTTAAAGTCAATAACAAACTGAATATCTGTGTTTTATCTGTTATTTCTTAGAATACAGTTTTTCAATGGATATATAAGGGAGATTACTAATGATTTTTTAAAGCTATTAGGAACTGAACCGTTAATTTACATAATTTGTTTTTTTAGACAGAAAACAAGCTCAGAAATATTTGATGAACACTTTCTCATCGAGTTTTATTTTAAGAAATATATTGTTAGTCATTTTTAAATATTTGTTTCTACATCTTTGTCTTCACGATATAATGGTCACGTTATTTTGAAAACTAAGTTTCAATTGTAGTTCTTTGATTGTTTCTATTAAATGTATTACAATTGATATATAGATATGAGACGTTTCAGTACTTGACATATTGTGTAAACACCTGTATGATATTGAAAACTGTATTTTGCCCTCTGGAATCCAATTATTTTTTTTTAGTTTTTTTGTCATTTTGTTTTGTCGTTTTGGCGTATACTCCTTTTATTCATACTTGTTTTTCCTATTTAAGAACATGTACATACTTAAAATATGAACTGCAAGAGACTTTTATGAAAGATTAATTGAATAAAGCTGTTATTACACAAGGTAATACAAACATTATTTAACCACCCTGTTTATCAACTGTATTCGACGACCAATTTTGAAGCCATGTCGCATCTGGACGAAGTCGATATATTTTCAAAATTTTATATAAACTAGATAAGTATTGGACAAGGTTATAACAAGATCAATCGCTCTTAGTAAAAATCACTCTGTATCAAACAAAACATTCTCTGACACTGACATTATCAAGATGCTTGATTTCTAAATTGACAACAAGGAGGACGTGTTTTTCAACAAATAATTGGCATTCCCATGGGAACCAACTGTGCTCCTCTATTTGCCGACTTTTTTTTTATTCATGTGAGACTGACTTTATACAAGACCTTCTTGTGAAAAATGAAAAGAAGCTAGCAGTATCCTATAACTTCACTTTCCGCTATAAAGATTAAAACTTCTCACTTGATACGTTTGGTGACTATATTAAACGCATCTATCCCATCGAACTTGAAATAAAGGATATAACAGATACAGTTAAGTTTATTTCTATGTAGCAGCATTCCAGGAGAGCCTGTATATGGAGTACATATATCCCAGTTGCTACGATATGAAAGGGCTTGCGTTCCTTATCATCATGATTCCTTGATAGAGGATTGTTACCCACAAGGAAGCTATTAAACCTAGAGTTCTAAGTGGTAAAGTTGAAACCATCCCTTCGACAATTGTACTGACGTCATCATGAGTTGGGTGACCGTTACGGGATATCTGACAGAAGCACAATCTCGCCCTCCTTTTCCCCGGATGTGACCTACCTAATTAAACTGGTTTGTAGTTATATGAGCAACACGACAGGAGCCACATGTGGAGCAGGATCTGCACCAACGATTACCAGAGATCACCTCTAGTTTTGTTTTAAAGGGGTTTTTGTTGCTCTTACTTTATTTTTTAGTGTTCTTCTTTGTGTTTTTTATCTTTGAATGTGTGTGAAGTTTATACCCGTAACAGTACTGTATATCCTTCGTTAAGAAACAGTTGTTTCAATTTCAAAATGTCGCATTCGGTTATGGTTCAAGGTTAGAAGTTTTAAATGACCGTTTGTTTATGAATGTGGTGATGTTTTAGGGTATGATAAAGAGTCAATTAACAATCCGCTATTGCGTGATGCCTTACAACTTGATATGACGTATCAACATATTTTATAGGATTAACACGACGGGTGTCACATGTGTAACAGGATCTGCTTTCACGGTGTTTGGTAAGGTTCGTGTTGCTCAGTTTTTAGTTTTCTATGTTATGTTGTGTTTGTTATACTGTTGTTTTTCTTTTTGGTCTTTTTCCTTTTTTGCCATGTCGTTTCCAGTTACTTTCGATTTATGAGTTTGAATGTCCCTTTGGTATCTTTCGCTTCTTTTGTACCACTTTTATTTTATTTCAGATTTTTAAAGGATGAACTTTTTCAAAATTATTAATTTATCAATTATGTCTTATGTATAGGGCAAGTGTGTTTGAACACAAGTCTCAATTTTGCCAAAATATATTTTAAGAATAATTTGACAAGCACCGATATTATTGGCAAGGTAGAAATTAAACTGTGTAGCCCTATGTTCTATTCATTGTTTTCTTCTTATCTGTTTATAATTTGTTCTTTTTCTTACTTACTTTTCATTAGTTTTGCTGTTTTCGTTATTTATTATTGGCTTTTTTACATTCTTCAAAAGAAAATAATTCCGGCGCTGATGTTTTTGTTCAAAATTTCATATAATTTATCACATAATATAGTATCACCTATGCATGTACGCAAATTGCTTCAGACTGTTTATTGAAATGTGACTTAGAACATGTTCCTTTCTTAAAATTCTGTAAACTATCTATACATAAAAAAGTATGTCTTATTTTGCAAATTATCGAAAAAATCTCGGAATCATAATTATTCAGTGCAGTTAACATGCGCAAGTGCGAGTTTAAAGAAAAAAAGAAAACAAAAATAATAATTTGAAATAATAGAATATAGTCAAGCATGCTTCTACATTGCCAATAAAATCTTCCCATTATCCATACATATTTTTTGTTTCAAACGAGAAAGGGTATCCATTGTAGATATTTCTGGCGATCATGCATTGAAAACCGTTAATTATATTCACTTATCATCGTTGATATTCCTATTTAAAAGTTGTGGATTGAAAGACAAATGTATCTAATTGATAAAAAACTTTTAATAATTTTGCCTTTTAACTATATGTACTTCAAATGACTGTTTGACTGTTTCTGAAAATTTTGGGTGGATATTTTATTTATCTTTTATTTTTCATTTTTTGTAATGTCTTTTTAAAGGTCATTCGTTTGTTTGTCGCGATGTTACTATCTGTTTTATCAAAATTTGCGTTTAACTTAGTGAATAGTTAGAATACAAATATCTCTAAAAAAAATAAATGGGATACGAAGCTGCATTCGTTCGAATTTGTCCTGTTGTACGGTACTACAATGGAGATGTTAGATTACTCTGTCTATAAATAAAGAGATCGCATATTCAGTTGTTGGACGGACATGCCGTTATCGCAGATACCGCATGGCTTCATGAAATGCAAACGGAATTTATTATGAACTGCCAATAACCTTACTAACACTCGATTCTCTTTTTTGGCATATACTGCAATTTGTTTACTTTAATTAGCTAGCCCGGTGATAATGAAATGTTTTAATATCCTGTTGTTCATATAATTATAGTTATCATCTACACAGTAATATTCCCGTAATATTATGAGATGAATCATCATATTTCACTAATTCTTTTGTTAGCAAGTAATTTTCATTTTTGACGTAAAGTGATACATAATAGGAAAAGGAAGTATCAAAGATAACAAAAAATATCATGGGGTTGATGCAATTATATATCTAAAAGAGGGACGAAAGATACCATCTAATTTAGGATTTATGACTTGTTTTTGAATACAGCCTCAATTATTATCATTAAGTAGATTTTAATTTAAAATGTTTATGCCTAGACCAAGCCAGGAACATGACAGTTGTTTTCCATTCGTTCTGTTGTTTGACTTAGTCTTGCGTTTGATTTTATCAGGTTTTATAGACTTTCCCCTTTTTTAATTTACCTGAGAGTTCGGTATGTTAAAACTTTTTTCATCTGTGCACATATACTTTTGAATATTGTGAAGTTCATAATGCATTAGTATTCATAGATTTTTACCAAGGAATTTAACAACTGAAAATGGCAGAATGGCACATACTTTAATTTTAAAATAAAATAAAATTTTATACAACGTAATTATATTTTTCATGACCTTCAATGTATCATGTTTTTTTTTCACGGAAACAACTTTTTTGTAAAATACGTTCATACACATCCGTCACTTTTACGACTTAAATATTTAAAACTCAACCGTCAACGCTCTAACTGCTAGGATGGATACAGCAAAGATTGTTACTCTGTTTCTTATGTTATCGTTTTTCAGAGGTTTGTAATCATCACACATATTTTTTAGTTTTTATTATTACAAAAAAAGCGACAAAATAGCTTTGGGAAAAAGGGGGGAAAACTCGCGTTACCTGAAAATGTTATAATTAATCTCGTGTTTGTGTCCGTAGTTCAACAATCGTTATTATAAATACACGCAAATATTTCTGAATTTACGGAACATGGATTTGTTTTATTCATCAAAGTTGTATCTTTTATATTTTAATTTATAAGTTAAAAACATATCATGAACATGAAACATAAACTCATTCATGTTTGTATGCCGTAGAGGGACCTACACATTATTAATCTAACGTGGATTCAATATTGTTCGTGGGGTACCAATTGTCTTCGATTTCGTGAATATGAATTACAGAATATTATTTTAAAAAACTGAATTATCTGATAAAATAATATCTTTACATATATAACATGTATAACAAAGTCTTTTTTTATGAAACCAAACATTTGTATGTATTTGTAACAAACGTTATACCAATAACATGAATAAGGTTACATCAGATCACTTTACACATTTAAAAGAATGAAAAAAATCCCACACATATTTGAGATTTCTGAATTACATAAGCTTCTGTGAGTAAAATTATTTAAAGTTATAAACAGCAAAAGGAAAATATAAGTATAAGCACTATGCATAAGAAGCGCTTCATCGGGAACGCCAAAAGCCAACCAGTTGAATGTCAATGATGTAGAAGACCCAAAACACGTGAAAAACTATACTCACTTCTAATGTACAAAGGCGGTTTACTCTGTTTAAAAAAGAGTTTCGTGAAAAATTATTAAATTATGTCTGTATTCATAAATTTGAAATTCGTACCCATTATCAGATATTTGACCTGCACATTCGTTTCAGACGAATACTAAACTGTTACCTCCAGCTGCACCAATTGAACATGATTAAACTTTCTTACTTTCGTTATTGTCTTTTCGATCAGTTCTCCCTGCCACCATTATTATTAAAATTAGCTTTTATGTTTTTGTAATAAAATTTCGAAATATTGAAGTTTAGGTATAGAAACAACATGGTACTAACGAGGCAACCTCTCTTAGTTTTATTATTGGATATGAAATTATTCATTATGATTCCAGTAATATGTATAAAAGCATTGCCACTAACTCACACCTAAGACACCGATTTCAGTGTAAAAACTCGTGTGACTTGATTGAATTTCATCATGTACTAAACAAATATTTGAATAGTTTTTGAACATGTATAGAACTGTACAGTGTTTGTATATAATCAATCATCAAAACTATTATGGTATCAACTATCCTCCAGAGACAAATGAGATAGATATAAGTAACTACAGTCCAACGTTAGGCCTTCAACTATGGGCTAAATGCCTACAGTATACTAACTATAAATTAGGTAAATTTTCAGTATCTCATAGTACAAAACAATAGGTACAAATGCAAAACCAGTTTGTATAGGATTTGTCAATTAAGAAAAAAGGAAATGCTTAAACAAAAGTTATTATTCTGAATATAATATTAAATCTCATTTGTTCATTGTCCGGATTGTTGTGCAAGTTTTATTTTTGTCTATGTCTATGTCATTGAAATTAATTCATATAAATAAATGTTAGTACATCTCATTTGCAGGTGGTTTAAGCAGGTGTGATATTGGTTGGGTTCATGAAAATCAGTCATGTTACTACTTTAGTCGATTTTCTACAAACTTTTACACGGCACTGGTAGGTGTTCATTGATTTTCACAAACATCATTTGGTTTATATAAACAATTTCTCTCGAAGAGCTGAGTAATATCCAAAATAATGAGTACCATTATAACAACGAAAATAATCTATTGTAGACTTTCATCAGGCATTATCCGTTATATAAATATTTACAATATGGCAAGATCCAATTCAATGATTATATTTAAGAAATAATACATGGCAGCTGTAGATTTGTTTTTCATTTAATCATGGGTTGGGCGTTTTTATTCGATTATTTTAATATAAATGTCCAACCCATGGTTAAATGAAAACAAATCTACGGCTGCAATGAACTATTCCGATACTAATAGGAAAAATATGGCAATTTTGTCAACCATTAAAGCCCTGTACACACGATACTGTTTTGGTTGTTCCGTGTTACCCACCATATATAAAACTGAACTTATCTTTATTTTGTGCATGAATATTGTATTGATTGTGAAATATTCATTTGACAGAGAAAACGAATAATTATTTAGGCATATGTTTGAAAGAACACCCATTTAAATACCAATCAATGATTAAGGCATGTGACCTCATTCAAGCCTGAAAGTTTCAAGACGCAACGAATACGACTGGCAACTTGTGGGAAAGTTTTCATCAAATTACTACGTGGAAGTAGTGTGTCACACCTTATAGTACACGAACTTGGATTTGTAACAATAAAATCCATCAAAATAAAATAGAATGTTGAATATCTGTCGGAATGCAATCATTTTGTGTCCAATGAATCGTTCTTACTGGATGACAACAAGCTTTAAATCATCTATCTACCTGTCTATAGCTAAGAGAAGCCGACATCGTAAATTTTGGAATACTTCAAATATAAATTTTTAAAAATCACATTTTCACTTAAAAATGTTCTTTTTATTTAAGTTTATTACACCCTGAGGCGTAAAAAAAGTCTTAAAACGCCCGGTGTTTTCATTTGACCGGCAACATATGTATAACGTCACCTTGTTTAGTTGCCAAAGACAATAACACAGTTTCGCGGAAATTTCGTTTAATGAAATTTTACACCGAAATAATAACTGAAATGGACTGATTTGTTTATTTTGAGATAACCGTAACGCGAATTGTATTTGAAGCTTGGCCTACATAAAACGTGGGTTTTGCTGTCGCAAATTGAGTTTACCTAGTCGTATTAATAACATTGGCGTAACGCAGAACAGCCATGCGTTTGGGCTAAAAGTAGATATACTGTGAGTATATTGGTTGACGATATATATAAGTCATCATATTAGAATTGTCATTATCGTTTTATCTTTAATTGTGTTTTTTTTTTTTTTTTTTTTTTTTGAGTTTTTGCAAAACTATTGGTGGGAAATTGATTGAAATCGACAGTCAATCCGAATGGAACATGATAAAAAGACATGTACATGGACGAAGTAAGTCTACATTTAAAGACATGACCCCCAACCAAAGAAAAAACAAAATAGGGTCGAATCAAGTATAAAATTTAGAACCTGGAAAAATAAACCAGACTTCAAAAAATCTCGTAAAAAGTAAGAAAAAGATATCAAAAGTATACTTCCAAACAAAGTTGACAATTTAATCTATTTCCTGTACCGAAACCCTACTTTTGTAAATATGAATGATTATTTAAACCCGAATAATTTTAGGGACAATTTTATCCTGTAATCCCGGACTTTATGCATGTATATTATCACAAATAAATGTTTAGTTGTAGAAATGAGATGTTTGCTGGTTGAAGCATTGTTCATGTAGGTGTTTTAGTTTTGACACTTAAGATACAAAAAATAAAAATCAGAGAAATCTAATAAAGATATCTTCAATTCAATTATACGTATAAGTTTATAAGCTGTCATCTGAACACACTTGAATAAGTGTTTTAGTTCTTTGGTATTAAATTCTCTTATATATCAACTGAAAAATGTAACATTTGAGATAAATATAACAAACGTTAAATTGTTAGAAATGCAAGAAATAAAAAAATAAACATTTGAAAACCTCATCAATGAATAAAATAAAACAATTAAAAAGATAAAACGACAAACCGTAGTGGCGCAATGGTGCATGTGTAATGGAAAATGGTTCATGGTGTAATAGCTTATGGTATCATTAATTGGAATGTACGTCATTAACGGACTGTAACAATCTGTATGATAAAACCGTCGGTCAGAACGGGGACTTTAAATCCGATGTCTTTTGTAGAGCATGTCATGCTCTCGGTACGCGTAATAACTCGTAACTTCAAGGGGTCCGTTTGGTAAACTGTTGCAAAGCTATATTTCTGTCGTTATCTAAACAACCCTCTTGTTCCAGTGGCATTCCTAATTTCCCAAGTTCGACCCCAGTTGCAAAACCTACCTATTATATTTATTATTAATTTGTTCTCATCATGAACAGGCATGATATATTTGCCACTGGACTTTAGGAAAACAACATGAAAACATAACTGCCTGTTGTCATCCATTTTTCTTGTATTAGTGTTTTAAAGTTTGATTTATGTTTTTGCAGGTTTTCCCGATTTTTATATTGGATTGACCGACTTATTCAGCGAGGGTGATTGGCAAAAGGCGACAACGCTGGAAAGACAAAATGTCCTAAAATGGGCCAATGGACAACCTGATAATGCGCACAACAATCAGCATTGTGTTCAAGTTTGGGTCTCATCAATGACATTTGATGACCTTTGGTGTCATTATGATCGTCATTTTGTTTGTGAGAAATAAAATGTCAATTCCCTTACTAATTAAGGAATTCACGTTGCATTTATATGATAACAATAAAATTAAAAGTTTTCATAAATGCACATCTTACGACGCCATTTGACCAACTTATTCTTTAATTTTCAATGTATAAATAAAACCTTTTGAAACATTGAAGTATTTCTACTCCAATCACTTGGCACTTTTATTCATTATTGTCTTTTGAATTCTCTTCAACTTCGTTATTGACTTGATATTTCTTCTGTTTTGATTCGAGCGCAAAGGATGCCGATTATGTAAACGAAATGCGCTTATGGCGTTCTTAATTATAAACCTGGGGTCTTTCATGAGTTCAAATATATCAAACTTGTATATCGTCTTTGTATACAATCATTTAGTTTGTCACCTTTTTTTCAGTCCGTGAAGTTCCAACATTACATAGCAATATAAAATCTATACAACAATATATTTTAAACATGTTTGATCAAAGGATAGTAGTCTTTCAGATATCTTAATATTAGGCATATCGTATAAATTGAATGCGTGTCAGCTCGCTATAAAACTTGGTTCATTCCAACACTTTCAAGTGAAAGTTCCTTTACCAATTGAGGACTGTAATAGTCAATTGTTTCCATTAGGAGTTTCTCTTAAAGATCAGTTTATATGTACTAGAACACACCCGCGAAAATCGCGGGCATTTATAGCGTGGTTGAAAGTATGTAAACTGTTGTAGGATGAATTTTTGTAAAAGATTTTATGACTGTAGAATTTCAGGAAGGTATTAAAAGTCATAGGTACTTGGGGACAAGATATTTCTTATTAGCCCTCCCCTTTTTTCAAAATCCATTATTTTTTTCAATTAATTTCAATTATTTTCGCGTTTTTCTGTATACTATGGACATACCTTTACTATAAATAAAGTGTGTTTACTATTTACTATCAATTCCAAGTTTACTATCCAAGGCGGTCACTTATATTTTATATCAGAGACAATCATATATTATATTATATAGTATATATATTGTATGTCTCTGATTATATAGAGACTCTCTTCTCTCTATATAATTTATCAGTGACCGCCGTGGATAGTAAAATGGAATTGATAGTAAATAGCAAATACACTTTATTTATAGTATATGTATGTTCATAGTATACAGGAAAACGCGAAAACCCAAGTACTTAATGAAAATTATGTGTAATTTTAGACAGTCCTAAACGGACGTCTTGTAAGTCTTTATGGTTTACGTATAGACTTACGTATATAGCATATTCCACTCCAAATGTTGCCTAGTTTGTGCCCAAAATCCCGGATCTGCATGTTACATGAGCAAATAAAGATGCAGTAAATGACACTTATACCTTAGGAACAAATATGTGATGTCGTAACATTTATGACAATCATAAGACCATCATAAGTCATGTCACGAGGTGTCTTAAGTGTACGATAAAAGTTATGACATATCATAACTTAAGACCCTTGCGAATACATATCTTACGACTATGGCATGTCCTAAAACCATAAGATACTTTCGAAAATCAGGCCCGAGGTCTTGCCTTTCAATTTCCTCCTTGACACTCATATGAATAATTGTAAATCTATATACCCTACGTGAATAGATCTACAGCATTTTAAAAGTGACCTGCAGTCACCTATCATTTTGCCTGATATGATTGTTAATGGTTATTTTAAATATTTCAAATAAACAGCAATTTTCAACGTAATACAAAGAGGATGATCAAAAGAAGAAACCGGAATACCTGAAACCTTAAATTAAAATCAAAGGACACAAAATGCATATTATAGAGACTGAATTTAGGATGTTTAGCAACAACTGAGTCACGTTGCATGTAATAACATCGTCGATTTTAATTTGAATTAATCTTGCTTGTAAATCACAGGCTATTCTATTTAATTTAATAATCAAGAAAGATTGCACTTCAATGGCAAATGAATGCTCAATTACAATGTTTCCCTTTATGTATTTAGTTCTACCTTTTTGGTTGGGACTACATTAACTTGCGTATACAATATTCGTAGTGCTGACGTTTTGACGTTGGGGGACTGGCAGTAACCCTTCACATAAGCTTTTATCCTCGTGCAGTCTTGTCTATGACTTTAATGTCCGTCCGATGACGGAAACAATATGCGGACGCCTTTATTTTCGTTTTTCTCCCAAAATAACCCAAACGGAATAATCATAAGCGAGAATGACAAATGTGACTATGCATGGTACCTATAGGACACAGAGGCATGGTGATTAATTTATTGTGGAAGGAAGAGAAGCGACACACAAAATAAGGTCTTCTCATTTAATAGTATAGATGTTGATTTTTAAGCTCATTACGTGACGTTAACTCCCGAGGGTATTATCAGCTCAATAGTCAGTACTTCGGAACTGACATGATTTATAACAAACTTTTCTAAATTTTGAAATTATAAAGGCACTAAGATTTTAATTCCCTTATGCAAAATTGACCTTGGATGGATTTGGCTATTTGTATGTCCCTTTTGGCCATTAATCTCTTCAACTGTTTTGGTTCTTGTACATCCTTGGCTTTCAAATATTCGGCTTTGATCGCTTGAAATTTATAACTTTTTTTTTTTTAACTTTTTAGTACATTGGTTAGCAGAGTCAATTACCTTCCCTACAAATACAAGACTAAAAGGATTAGCTGTCGGATTGTTTTGACATCAAGTAGCTTATACATGACTTTGTAAAAAGGAAACAGTTATTCATTTACCTTATGAATTCAACGCTACCTACATTACCATTGTTAGGTATACTCTGATTAGGTAATTTCTATGCTCTGTCATCAATTTTGATTTTAATATCCTCTATTTACATGATTCAGTAGTATTTCATTAATTATATATGATTAGCCATCATATTCCGTATTAGCACTACGTAGGTAAAAGGTTAACTTAGGGACAATAATTAGAATATCCAATACAAAAGAATAAGCTGCTGATGTAGCTAATTAAGAATTTGTCACGTGATTTTGAGATGATGTTTTTTATTATCATCATCACGTATATTTGTATCATAATGTTAAGATATTTTATCGTTCAGAAATTCTTTCAAATAACAGGATTGAGTGGTTCGCATCATCATAACGTCTAAGAAGCAACTCTCACAGATAATAGGCATGTGAGACTGGCACAGAACTCTTTGCAAATAGTGATGCCAATGTTGAAGTGGGTGATACTTTTGATCTCACAAATACTGCCCAAAGAATTGATATAAGCACAAAAATGTCAATTTTCACATATTGACATTCTAAATAATTGTTTATAAGTGCAATTGTGGAAGCAGCAAAAGGAAACATGGCTAAGAGTTTACCGTATATGTACATTGCTTTTATTATATTAGGAACAACATCGTGTGCGGCCAATGCAACCCTCATATGGATCATACTTCGAAACAGGAATTTTAGAACAATATCTAATGTAATCATTGTGAGTTTGGCTATAAGTGATTTCTTATTAGGGTTTATTGTATCTCCTATGGAAATGATGCATCATTTGTTGCCAGATTTTGACGTTATTGGATATGGATGCTTAGCTCATCAAGTTGTAATGATTTTTGTGCCACTTGTGTCCATCGTACATTTGTTGTTGGTTGCAGTTGAACGATTTGTTAAGATTGTATACCCTCTGCATTATCACAGGATAGCTACGAGATCCCGTGCAGTTGTCTTAATTGTTTTAACTTGGTTGTTTCCGTTTTGTGTGAGTCTGCTACCATTTATGGGGATACATCAAAACATGGAATCGACTAACAACACGGATAACACATGTGCCACCTTAGACATGCTACCGTGTCCATACTTGAATGCTGTAATAGGTATGATTGGTTTAATAAGTGTCTTCATGGTCATTCTTTACACGGTGATTATGAAAATTGCGTACAGGCATGCCAAAGAATTGAGGAAAATTCAGATCCCTAAACAAAAGGGTAAGATACGTAAATCCTCCGAATTAAAGGCACTAATTGTTTTAGTAATGACAGTGATGTACTTTGTTTTGTCATGGGCTCCGTTTAGTGTATCTATTATAGATGAATGTATGTCTGGGCAGATAGCCAGCTATTATACAACATCGATCTTTATAGCTTATTTTAATTCGACTGTCAATCCTTTGATATATGGGATAGGTAACAGGGAACTCAGAAATTCATTCCTTGCAATTTGCAGTAAACAAAAACGGAACGAAATAGCACCTGTTACTACGGTAATTACTGCTATCTCGATGACGGAGCGAAAGATAGCAGAAAGCAATGTGTAATTCAAAAGGAACAGACTAAATGCATAAAATACTGGAAACTTTGAACGAGAATAAAAGAATTTTAAAACATTAAAGAGCTGTTTGGTTATTTCTTGAATAGTCCAACTATGTGATTACTAATGTAAACTTCTTACTTGGATTTAGGTCTTGTAGCGGCACCAGAAAAGTGAACTTATTTATAATCAGAACTATAGATAGGTATGTTATTTGAAGAAAACCAACTTCTGGCCAAGACTAAGATTATGAAATATCTAAGGAAAACGTCAAAAAATTATAAATTTTCAAAAATATTATTAAATCATCAACCAATTCCTTTTTTTTTTTTTTGCTCGGGTCAGTTCAAATTCATCAATGATACCAGGCTTATAATGAGATATGCAAGATGCGCGTTCCGGCAATATAAGACTCATCAGTAGCACTTGAATGAGCATAAATGACGATAGAATAATCCTTTTTTGTTCGGACGAACCAAGTTTATAAAGTGTTATTTTTTTTCGAATGTAACCTGATTAAAAATTCGTCAATGATACCAGCATTATAATGAGATACGCAAGATGCGCGTTTCGGCAATATAAGACTCATCCGTAGCAGTTGATTGAGCATAAATGACGATAAAATAATCCTTTTCTGCTCGGACGAACCAAGTTTATAAAGTGTTATTCTTTATATTTTTTTTTTAATGTAACCTGATTTCGCTTCTAGTTTTGTAAAGGGTTGGTTTTGCTTTTGTCTTAGTTTTTGTATGACGTATTTTATGATATTTTATTTTCTAATCTTTGAATGTTTTACATTCGGTCATGATAAGGGTTACTTAATGTATATGTGGCAATCATGGCTTGTGAATTAGGTAATACCTTAGGGTTAGATAAGAAACATTTTCCCATCAACTACTAAATGATGCCGTGTCATTAGTAGTAACTTGTCAACGAATTCTAACATAATGATTGTCAATATATAGTGAAGAATTCCTCCCTCAATGTTTGGATGGAGGTCATGTGGTCAAGTCTTATTTTCTGTGTAATTTTTTGGTGATCGTTTTTTGTCTTGGTGTTGTCTGCATTTCTTTAACATTTGAGTTTGTCATAGCCGTGGTCATCTGCTCTCCTTTGTATAGTTAATTGTTTTATCAAAACCCTTATCTTGACAGAATACAAATTGAATTCTTATGTTAAGCCTTATTAGTTTGTACCAACAATATTCAACAATGATATTGTTGTTGACGTGGTTATTCAAACCTTTACTACAGAATACATCATGTTGAACATGCCTCAACATGCAATCACTAAAATTAAAGCTGTTATTAAACATAAGTTTCATACCAATCTGATTTGAATACAGATCCTGTGTTCGTGTTTTCTTAAGAAGACATGACAAAACTCGGAAGTTTTCTGTTTCGACTCAGCATAAGCATAACATAAGGTCATCAATACATATCGAAACTCAACAGAAAAATAAAAATAACACTGAATAATGTTGTACCATCAAAGTACCCTTCTAAATTTACCTTCAGTAAAGGCAAGCGATGTACAAATACATAGAAATATACGTTAGAAGCTATCGGACCAAACAGGACGAAAAAGATTAGCCAAATTCACCTTTGCCTCAGGGAGTTGGAACTTAATTTTCTAAGATATTTTTTAATTTATCAACGGCGTGTTTTCTAAATTAACGCTAAAAGAGAGGTAGGTGATACCACAGGGGTAATCATACTGCCAAAGTCAAAGAAAAACTGACAGAGACACGGCAAAACAAAACACGAAAAGGGAAACAACAGCATACAAAACACAAAGCAACAAATTAAAGACTGAGTTACAAGAACCCCCGCAAAAAAAAACGGAGGTGATTTCAGGTGCTCAAGAAGGGTTAGAAGATCTTACTCTTACTAAATAAAAGAAGAATGTGTCTGAGGACACAAATGACCCCCCGCAAGCTTTTTTTTCCAAGTTATAAAGGGGCATAACTTTAGAACGGTAAGTGACTCACTGCCTCAATTCGAACTCTGTCTTCGAGTTTTGGTTCTTAGAACTGTGCATGAGTTTTATTAAATGTGAATGAGGAAATTGTAAATTACAGTGCAGAAACGAAACAAATTGCAATTTTCCATGTTAAAAAGGAGCTTAACTCTAGAACGGTAAATGTCTCACTGCCCAAATTTGAACTCAGTCTGCACGTGTTGGTTCTTAGTATTGTGTATGAGTTTCATATAATTTAGATTAGACAAACTTAAGTAAGCAAGAGTGCGACAACAAAAATGGGACGGACGCACAGAAAGACAGACGGACGGAAAGACGGACGAAAGGACGGTCAAGGGTAACACCTAATGCCCCCGTTACCTAATGCGTGGGCATACAAATCAAAATGACACGTTATAAATACGTTGACCCTTAAGCACTTTTCTAAAGCTTACCTTCATTATGATGGCTCAAATCCAAAGTATTGGAAGTTTATATTACCAAAAAGTGTCCCAAAAAGAATACAAAAAACCAAATAACATAAGGTTAACCTTGCCTGAAAGAATTGGAATCGTAGTTCCTAAATAAATTTTGATTTATTAACCGAATGTTATAGAAAACAAGAGGCTCTCAAGAGCCTGAATCGCTCACCTGTATTTCAGAGGAGAAGATTTTTAAATGTTAGCAAACTTGATGAACAAATTTAGTAAAATTGTCTTTAAAGGGCAATAACTCCTTAAGGGGTCAATTGACAATCATTGTCATATTCACTTTTTTGTAGATCTTACTTTGCTGAACATGATTGCTGCTTACAGTTTATATATATATCTATAATAATATTCAAAATAATAACAAAAAACTGCAAAATTTTGTTAAAACTACAAATTCGGTGGCAGCAACCCAACAATGGGTTGTTCGATTAGTCTGAAAATTTCAGGGCCGATACATCTTGACTAATTGAACAATTTTACCCCTGTCACGTTTGCTCTTAAGGTTCAGTTTTTGAGATATAAGCCAAAAACTGCATTTGACCCTTATGTTCTATTTTTAAGTAATGGCGGCCATGTTTGTCGATGGATCAAAACTTCGGATACAATTTATAAACTAGATACCTTAAGGAACATTTAGTTAAAGTTTGAAGGTATTTGGTCTAGTAGTTTCAGAGGTGAAGATTTTTGAAATAGTTTACGACGACAGACGACGACGACAGACGACGGACGCCAAGTGATGGCATAAGCTCACATGGGGCCCTTCTAATATTATTTTGTATATTATAAGTATACAGAATTCCAAGACAAATTCAAAAAGGGGAGTTCATCAAAAAATGTCAAAATCAAACGCTATCAACAAACGGAACAAGTGAAAACAAACTGCCATATGCCTGCGTTAGTACAGGCATCGTGAAATATAATTATAAAACATACAAGCTGGGAAGCCCTGACTACTGGGTTGATTGATAACTCCGGAGACTAACAAGTCACCAGCAAAGGAATTCACCAAGCGCAAGAAAACGAAAATTACACTTCATACAGTTGTTGCTTCCAAGGGCTTTGCTGGATTTACCTAAAACTTACTTGATAAGTACTTTTGAGTACATCAAACTGTTGCAGGAGGTTAATAGTAGGCTGCTATTTAAATCTTTGATATTTTCAAGGGATTTAAGATATTTTTGTGTATGTAAGGTATTGTTGTCAGCATGTGTAATGTATTAAACACAGCAGAAATTAATTTCTTGGTAGCATGCTTCTTCTATTGACATGAATGTAATGTGGATTCATTTATTTTCGTGCGTACCAATTTTCGTGGATTGAGGAAAACTTGTATTTTCGTGGATATCTGATTTCGTCGTTTAGCCATACGAGCCTATATAAAATTTGTCATTCGTTGAACATTTAAATTCATGGTTCACCTGTACCCCCTGAAAACCACAATAATTGGTATACCACGAATAATAATGAATTCACAGTATTTAAAATATTTTGTATGAGAATAATAAGTAGTTGCTGCACAAACGTCAAGTTAACTCTACCACTGTATAATCCCATACAGCGCAAATTGTTGTGAACTGTCATTTCCGTATACAGAAGTGATAAATTCAAAAGAAGTTCATGACAAGAAAACAGATTAACCACACCCTTTATATGTGAAGGTGATTAAATGAATTGTTTGATACTAAACATTTTGAAGAAAAAAAATTTCCAAAGAGAAGTGAAAACAGTATAGTTTTGTTTTCTATAAAAAAAAATAGATAAAACAAAACTCAGCCTCATTTTTGAAAGGTTTTTTCTTCTGTTATCTTAAAAAGTATTTTGTTCTAAGTTGAAGTATAAAGTTCGTCCCGGCGAAAACCTCATGATAATCCCAAAAGATAAAAGATCTTCGTGCACCATATATAATAGCTAATGTGGTGTACGGTGGCGTGTTTTATTCCCTGCTATTTAATCCCTATGTTGTTTTATTTAAACCTAACTGCAATATACGGCATACGGGATTATAGTGCTAACCCATACAAAATTAGGAGAATATTGAAAAGTCTAGTTATCTAGTAACTTTCATTGTACTATTTAAGTGTCGTTGTTACATCTATGTAGGGCAAACAGATAAGACAGCAGACCACTTTTGTCCAAATTGAGAGTCAATTATATAATATAGAAACATGACTGTGTGTGCTTAGGTTTAAACACGTCATAGTGTTTGTTGTGCAGATCGAACAAAACCATCTGATGTCGAGAGTTTTACATGAGGGTCTGATCCTGAATTTGGAATCTTCATGGTTAGATTGTTCAATTTCATGTCAATTTTTTATTCAATGTTTGGCCTATTATTCTATATTTATGACGTATTAGCACCCCGATATCCCTTTCTGTTTATTTGTTTGTCTCATTATTCTCTTCTGTAATCCTCATGCAGAACCTCATGACCATGCATACTAAAATGATGTAGCAGTTAATGCCAATGGATACCAATCAAACAACACAAGATAACAAAACATTGACCTCAGAGAGTAAACAAACGTTCCTAAGCTATTTACACGCATGCTCAACATTTGAAAAGCCATAATCAAACACGGTCTAGACAAGTTAGGAACAAAAGCAACATATACTATCAATATCTTACAACACAAACACGTAGTATTATATACTCGTGATAAACATGTTTTGTAGATGAATTTGTTTCCATAGCTGGTTTGTCATATATATTAGTCTATTGGACTATGCTTTATCACTTTCTACAAATAAGTATATATTAGGGTCTGGATGGTGTTGCCAGAATAGAGAATAATGGCAAAATCATAATGCACAGAACAAAACATCGAAAACAATATGGAATATAGAATAGAAAAATGGATTGCAAAAGTATATAGAATAATAGTGGAAAATAATAGACTAGAACAATAGTATACTGATTACAAAAATGATCGATTCACAGAATAAGAAATAGTCTACTGAAAAATGAAATAATAACATCATTTTCATGATAATTTTACAGAATAATTGTTATTTTTAGATATAAATATTTAAATATTTAAAGAATACCGAAATTAAGGACCCCCATCCAGACCCTCATTTATATATATATAATTACATTTATAGTTCCTTTTTTTTTTATTGGTGTTGTTGTGTACACTTTTTAGGTGTTTATATATATATATATATATATATATTGCCTTCGGGTTTATATGATCCGTTCATCCTATTTCGACTCTTCAAAATTCAAGAGTCAATCCCAAATTGAGGTAAATTATATGGCCTTCCAAATACCGTTTCGATTCCTAACATCACTGAAGAGACATTAATTGTCGAAATCCGGATATGGTGTACAAATTTTTGCACCTCATGTTTGCGATATACCATCTTTTCCGCAAGTTTATTGTTTTCTGTTTGGTATTAAATTAATATAATTAAGATCCATTGTGTTACATCTGTGATCCGTTTATTTGGCAATCGCCATGGCAGTCAGCAGGGTTTAAGAACATCAGTTGTCCGACCTGCTAGTCAAATGCGTTTTGTTAAAATATATTTTTTCACTTTTTTGGTCTTTTGGAAAATGTTGTTTGTGCTGTATTTAGACCCCTCTACAAAGAAATTTGTTTTGCATGCACACGTATAAAAATTGCGGTTTTTATCCAACGCAATCATATGTTTGAACGTTGTTTTCAATTTAGACTTGTTTATATTTTTTCGTTTGGGCTTGTATTATATTTGCCTTCGGGTTTATATGATCCGTTCATCCTATTTCGACTCTTCAAAATTCAAGAGTCAATCCCAAATTGAGGTAAATTATATGGCCTTCCAAATACCGTTTCGATTCCTAACATCACTGAAGAGACATTAATTGTCGAAATCCGGATATGGTGTACAAATTTTTGCACCTCATGTTTGCGATATACCATCTTTTCCGCAAGTTTATTGTTTTCTGTTTGGTATTAAATTAATATAATTAAGATCCATTGTGTTACATCTGTGACTGGTTTATTTGGCAATGGCCATGGCAGTCAGCAGGGTTTAAGAACATCCGTTGTTCGACCTGCTAGTCAAATGCGTTTTGTTAAAATATACTTTTTCACTTTTTTGGTCTTTTGGAAAATGTTGTTTGTGCTGTATTTAGACACCTCTACAAAGAAATTTGTTTTGCATGCACACGTATAAAAATTGCGGTTTTTATCCAACGCAATCATAGGTTTGAACGTTGTTTTCAATTTAGACTTATATATATATAAGTGCCTATAAATAGCAGCAAACGGAGAACTCAATTTATATATTAACATGTGACACATGTGGCATTCAGTATGTGGGAGAAACAATGGACAAATTTAATATTCGGCTCAATAACCATCGTTCATGGTACAAAACCAACAAAAACTGTCCTCTCACAAGACATCTTCGTTCAACGAAACATTCTTTTGATAATGTTACCTTCCAAATCATAGAAGTCAACACCGAGTGGGACACCACGGCGAGAAGGAGAAGAGAAAATTTTTGGATCCACCAACTCCACACTTTAGAACCTGATGGTCTTAACGAAAAAGATGAGAAAAGATACAGGAAAGATAAAGAATAATTTAGTACACAGCATCGTCCTTTTTATCCTGTAATATTGGCCAATGGACGTTGCTAACTTCAACTACCAATTTTGTAAAAATCTTGAACTTCATCCAAATTATGTATTATTTTCAAGGCAGCTAAATTCAAGTGCAACATATACATTGAGCTGCAAAAGTTTCTTATCATCTACATCCGATTTCACCTGGATAGATGCACGCTTGATAAAGCTAGTTAGTCTAGCGAAATATTGCGTTTATTTTCATCATTTTGTAAATATTTTAAACATTCTTATATTTACATACTAAATAGTGTGCTAAAATTACATTGTTAGGCAATCTATATATATATATATATATATATATATATATGTATATGACAAAGATGTTCGGTAAAGTTTATACTTAAGTGAAGTAGTTTCTTAAATATTTTAAATGTATTCACTGCTGATTAAAAAGTTGAGCGTTAATTAGAACCGATTTATAAAGTAAAATTAGCTTTAAGAAAAAACCTCGTGACAGGATATTTAATTGTAGATAATAATAAGTCACTTTGGATCAGTTCACAATAACAAAAAATAGAGAGTCTGCATCTCTACGATTGTATCATCATGATGAGTTTATCATTTCACTGATTTCAGGAAGTCCTCACTCTTCACAGGAAAAGATCGTTCATAGAATTATAAAATAAGTCACTTCGGACTTTTTAGGGACAGTTAAAAATCAAAAATCAAATAAAGAGCACTATTCTGAACGAAAGCATTTACACATTTATTAAATATTTCATGAGAAAAAAATTCGCCAATAGCTTTGCAGGAAGTCAACCTCTTCACAGGAATAGATTTATTTATGAAAACATACACACATTGATTAAATCTTTAATGATAACTTCAATAGCGTCATGACAGAAAGAGATTTATTTTAAAATATAACCACTTCGGACTTTTATCAAAAACACAAAAGCAATGATGGCTGTCCATCTGTATGATAAAATGCACACATTGATTTAACCAATGCAAATATCTAGCTGTCAACAAGGCTAAGAAATACTAATTAAAAAGAAATTAAAAGTCGACAATTATGAAATTCAAGAAATACCCTGGTTTAGCAGGAGTGAATATCCCTATACCTGAATTCTCAGACTTTCTTTGATATTTTGTTTCCCTATTTCATTTAAATTTAAGTTAATGTACATAGGATTATGTAAGGTGCACATAATGTGGCGTATGAATGAACATAGAAGCTCAGATTTGCGGATGATTATATGTATTATAGCATGTCTACTTTTGTTGATCAGTATTGTTTGCTTGTTGTCTAACTCTTAGACTATCTATGCCCATCATTGACATTGTACTTTGTATATGTTTAATTGATTGTTGCTTTCCTAACGTCCAATTGCAAATATTCCATGCATGTTCAGAACGATGTATACGCTTACTAAAACAAAACTTGAATCACTTACAAGGAAATAGGAATATGATATATTTATTCACGATACAAAATCCTGATATGCATTTGATATACAAACGCATATATAATATTTGTTTTTTCTCTTTTCTTATTAATTGACAGTCCTTACTCGTTACTTTTAATACAGAAATTGGTTTTTTTTATGAATCATATTTTAGTAAACCTATTTAGATATTCTATGGAAAACATCAAATTAATACAATACTCTTTCAAATGAAACATAATGAATGAACCATATTCCAACCATAATAGAGCAAACAGACATACTATATAACCTTTTGAGAACTTTCTTTGAAGCAGGTAATAATGACAAAAGATTTCACGCAAAATGAAAACATTAAAAGTGATAAAAAAATCAACCTATTCAAAGAGTTTTCCTGGTTTAACTTGAAATCATTCAAAAACAATTTTATGAAATATGTTATGTAACCTGATTTTCGTCGTTCGTAAGAGAATTAATGTACGAGTTTGTGGTGCTAAAAAGTAAATAACAAAAAAACCGAACTGCAAGGAAATTTCAAAACGGAAAATCAAAAGCTCAAACACATTAAACGAATGCAAAACAACTGTCATAATCATGACTTAGTACAGGCATTTCCTTTTGTAGAAAAAATGGTGGATTAGACCTGGTTTTATAGCTAGCTAAACCTCTCACTTGTCGCATTAAATTCTTTATATTGACAACAATGTGTGAACAAAACAAACAGACATACTAGGTAAAAATGTCAAAAATAGGGATACAGCAGTCAACCTTGTGTTATTATCTTAATCACTATAAAACACATATGTCAACAAATAAAAACAAAATGGCATATAGACAAAGCACAAATGAAAGACAAAAATAATAAAATGACAATAGCTAAATAACACAATGACGGAATGTACATCAATTTAAAGCTTCGAAATAAACACATGCTTGTTTTGTCCATTTTAATCCAAAACATTCACAGTGCAAATGATATCATTTCGCACACAATATTTTTCATCCATACCATCGTGTACATGTGCAAGATATTTAAACTTCAACGTGCTAAAAGTGATAAAGTTAGTGACCCATGAATGTTGTTGCGTATACAGGTTTTAAATATCTTAGTAATGGAGACCTATCTAGTAATTTTGCTACTATCTGTAGTTGTTTCGCTTAGTGCATTATATGGATACACCGTAGAACAAAAAATTAAAGACAAAATTAAAGAAGAGATTAAAGAAGAAATTAAAGAAGAGATTAAAGAAGAAATTAAAGACGAATTTGTAAAAATTGTAAGTGCAGAAATTGAACACCAATCTGAAATGAAGAAAATTAAAGAATTACTTAACGAAACGTATACCCGTTACGATAACGCATTACAAGATTTTAAAAAAGGTAAGCAAGCAAATTCGACAATACAATAATTCACAATAGTCCATCTGCGTGTACCAATTTTGATTCCAATTTGATAAATCTTGCAAAGGGAGACAACTCATGGGTATAAAAAAAGGGCACTGACTACGATTACGTTCAATACTTAACAATAACAAATAAGTTATTGTTACGTTGGACACTAATTGCCGGTTTGCTTGGTTGGGTTAGGAACCGATTGATTACGATCGAAACTTTAATATTCGTGTTTACGGTTACTTTGTGTTGTATTGTTACGTTAATTCAAATTCAATGTATACTGGGAATAGTAATATAGTGATATACTTTATTTCGTAAACAATTCAATGATACAATGTTGCATACAGATTATATATTGTATTTACAACGGCAGTTTCTACACATCCAGTACTAATTGTGGGTGGAACCACTCTAGGCAGCCACCGCACACGAGTAATGCCGCAATGTACACGTCTGGTTTTCATACTGTACTATTTTCGTCAATATATTTTGTCAGATGAACAATTATTTTATAAATGGTCATTATCATTTCAAAGATATATAAGGATATCAAAACTAGTGTCCCTCTACTGCAAAACAATGTGAATTACTGGCTTTGTTTCATCTGTATGCAACAAAAAAGCACAATACCAAAATGTGTAATGTGTTCCAGAAGTATATTTTGACTTATTTTAGATGTTAACAGTTTGATCTAGCTAGAAAGTATGTGTAGTGCAATATTTATAGATTAGTAAATACCTCACTTTCGTTTTATTTTTTATGTTTTCAGAAATTACGTCTAAAGAAAAAACTACGACTGCGGCGGGAAATAAACTTAACACGTATTTATCTGGAGTCTGAAGGTATTCCGTTCCATTAAAGGTACCCCTTTCCTTTATTTCACTCCAGTATATCATTTATAATATATTATTCTGTGTTCAGTAATTGTAAACATTAAAATGAAACACAGCGCTCAATTCATTTTGATTAAAGACACTAATAGTGGAGTGACAAATAAAAAAAAAGTCGTTTATTTTAAGAGTTTGATGGACCGGCATATCTCTCGGCTGACAATCCACATGATGATAGAGTTAACATTATACTATCATTTTAGCACTGTCGTAGAGTTTTCCCACGGTTCAGGTTTTTTTTTCTAAATCGCGATAAACGTGACTTTCAAATTTTATTTTATTTTTTCATTATAAAACACGGGAACGCTTATATTTGATTTCCGAAAAAAAGATATCAGCTACTATTTGCTATAGAATGAATAAGAAATGTATCAGATTTCATTTAGTATCAAACTTAAATATCATATGAAATTAATTACTGAGATAATTGAAAGAATTTCAATTGCATGTGACATATTTTTCAATCTTACCGTCTGCCAAAGTATATTAAATGTCGTACATACATCAGTCGTAGTCGATTTTAGCAAAAGATGGTGGAACAACCAATGCTTAAGAAGCTTTAATATATCAAAGTTTGACGGAACATACAAATCAACTTTTACAAGTGTTTTCATAGTACTCATCATATAGCAATTTGACTATTCAATTTTCACTCCAATAAGTCAAGTTTCGCTCCCTTTACTTATTTTTCCCTGACTTTTGATTGTGCATTTTCTTTAACTTTGTAAGTAAGAATATAGATTTGTATCATGCAATGTTTGTGTCTAGATGTTTGAAGTAGTGCAGTTTTGGGGTGTTTTTATTCTTATAGAGTTTTTCGAATAGACTTATTTTAAACCACATTGGAACACATCCGAATTAATCCCTAAAATGATGGGCAGTCCTGGTTCCATTAGATTAAATAAAGTATCATAGGTCGTGTTATAAAGCCTATACATGTACAAGTCAAATATATTTTTATACATTCGAATAAGGGAAAAACCAATGCTCAACAGCATGTGCAAAACGTTCCGCGGATAAATCAATCTGAGTTAAACCACGCTACCATCAGACTGGTCCAAATGTTTATTCTGCAGACAAAATTCATTCAAACGAGAAAAGCAATTATGATGGCATGTCATGTCGACTAAGCGTGACGATTATGTTTTAAATGCCACATAACACCAGTCCGACTATCCAATGGATGGTAAATGTATTCTCTATAGATTACTTCAAAGACAAGGCGCTGCATTATTCAGCATGAATTGTTAATGACTTGCTGAATGAAAATATTGAACTTGCTTCTCATGCTTCAAATGAGTCGTAGCATGATGTTTCTTTCCACAAACTAACATAAAGTCTTCACGAAGATCTGTTTGTGACAAAAAAGCATTTTCATTGTCGTATAATTTGCTAGATACATCTTGTGTTGTTCTTCCAAGAGAAATGTTTAACAAGTATACAACTGCTAAGCTACAGCACAAACTAGAAAATCATTACGGTGGTAACATTGCTGTTTAGAATCAAAGAGGACAGTGCATATCAAATATGATTTTCAGTAGTTCAATTAGTGTTTTCGAGGTTATTCGGACCCTTCATGATGCGGAAACAAATGTGAAAAGCAGTTTACGATCGTTCGAAATTTCAAATTATTATTTTTCATCACCGTCAGAAGTTTGTATTTCTACCGCTTTACAATTCATTCCTACATCTCTGATAAATACTTTTGCTTGGTTAGTAGATGACAATTCTTTTCATAATGGAAAATGATTACAATGCATTGTCGTATGATACTGTACGGAAATGTATAGCTTTAGCTGAGTGTGTGACATTCTTGCATTAAAAACCAGTACATCCCAGATCAGAGAATGTATTGGTTTTGTACAAATTGGAATAGAGAATGGAAACGGGGAATGTTTCAAAGAGACAACAACCTGTTCAAAGAGCAGAAAACCGCCCAAGGCCACCAATGGGTTTTCAACGCAGCGGGTAAATCCCGCACCCGTAATAGGGCTTCAGCTGACCCATAAGCAATAAGGTATACGAATGCATATAGTCTTTATGTAAAATAGTACTACACTGTTTTGGATATTTGGTCAAGGACTACTTTAAAATCCTGATAGCTTTTTTTGAAAACTTCGAGTGTGTCTTGGACTTGTTTGCTCGATATAATGTGGAATATTATATAAAATCAACAGACAGAATAAAGAGGTATATTTCAAATGGTGGTAGATCTAAGATTTTTCGGGTCATTGAAAGCAGATTAATTAAGAGATTGTAAAAACAATTCCATCTATCTATCTTCCCGTCTAGTAGTGGACTAATTTTGAGTGTAGATACTACAGCATGATGAAAAGATAAACACTTCCAAGTATGTACAGTTAAAATGTAAGGTGTTCTATGTTAAAGTCTGTGTTGTGGAGTAGTGTTGACACGATGACGGCTTGAATATCGTGTCAAAAATGATCTACAGACGGGGAAGTTCGGATATCTGGATGTATGTTATTCCAAAATATGATGGTGTCAGGCACACATGAATATTTAAACATTCGAGTTTCGTTCGTATCTGTCTGATGTTATGTGCAATTGAGCCACGGGTCCTGGTGTTGTGGAATTGGAGCAGGTGGTGGACAGGAACTTCTACAACACATTTAGATTCTGTAGAACATAATTACTCTGTTTCTGGATATTCTCTGTTCTAGTGGTTCGCAACCTAGTTGTTGCGTCATGTTTGTGACACAACCAGGGTCCCTTGTGTAGCAATTCCCTGTAACAAATCGAGCAGCCTTGATTTGTACATTTTCTAGTTCCTGGATTTGCTGTTGCTGGTATGGATCCCAGCCAGAGCTGTCATACTTGAGGACAAGCCTCACTAATGTTGTGTAAGCCTGGCTCTTAACTTCCTTGGGACACTTCCTGAGATTCATGCGAAAGAATCCAACTGATGGGGTGGCTTTCGCTGTCGTCTGGTTGATGTGCTCTCGCCACGACAGATCCTTGCTGATGTAGACGCAAAGGTACTACCCACCTGGGACGCTATCAAGGGTATGACCATGACGATGGTAGTAAAACTTGATCAGGTCGCGTTTCTTGCAGATTTGTATGGCGGTATATTTTTGTGGACGGAACGCCATCTGCCAATCTTATTCCCATTTCTCTAGTTGAGTTAAATCATCTTGCAGTTTGATGGAGTCGCTGATATATCTAATAGGCCGATATATCAGGCAATCATCAGCAAACAATTTTACAATCGATTTGACAGATTCAGGGAGGTAGTTTATAACGACGAGAAAGAGCAGGTGTCCCATAACTGTACCTTGTGGTACTCTTGAAATTACCTTTGCTTCGTCTGATGATGTACCCTCAACTAGCACATGATGTTTACGATTGTTAAAGAAGCTCTTGACCAATTTGAGAATATATTCACAAACACCGTACTATTTAAGCTTTTGGGGTAGTCGCTGGTGTGGCCCCTTATCAAACGCCTCTCAAAAACAAGTAGTATTGCGTTGATTTGTTGGCCATTTGATAATCCACTTGAGAGATCATGTATTGTGGCAATACGCTGTGTTTCACAAGAGTGTTTGCTACGGAATCCATGTGGGGCTGGTGTTGACATGGAATGCTCTTCTATATGGTACATTGTCTTGGTTTGAAGTAAGTGCTCCATTACATTTGAGCAAATGGCAATAAAAGATATTGGACGGTAATTTGCGGCAGTCCTCTTATCTCCTATGTGCAACTAAAATAAACAGGGTGAATATATTTTAGGTTACTATGCACTAAAATGAATTTGATTTGCAAGACAATGACAAAATATTCCTAACGGGATCTTTTTAAATTCAAGAGACTGTGGGATAGTTTTGTGACGGAACTGTAAGACTGCAATCAGTTTTTCAGTATACACGGGAAGGGGCAGATACAAGAATTATAATGTCGTCTCTTTTTGCTAATGAACAGATGATAAAAAGTATTTTCCAGTAGTCGCATTGCATTGTAATATAATCACCGGACACTCATGTTTTACTTCTGTGTATAAGGTATTTTCCAGAGATATCAAACATGATGAATTGTGGTTTCAATCTGGATGCACGTCTTCAACTAAAGACGCAAGATGGTTTATACCTGTTCACGACGTTTGCAAAGTTATTGGACCAGTTATGTCTAAACAGACAGCAAAAAGAAAGTCTATAGGCGTCAGAACAAAAATCATTCATGTAACAAAGTTTGTTGATCTAGCTGGTCCTTATATTGACACATATGTTGCAGTGGTAAGGCAATTAATCTTTGATATATATGACACCGGAGGCAATGCTCAATCAGTACATGGTGACCTCAATAAACTCAAGAGTGAAGTCGGCGCTATCTAACGAAGCTTCCTTAGTGAGACTACCTCATTCAGAGGCATCAATCAAACAACACATTCGTTACGTTTGGATGAGTACTTTAATTACCACACCACCACTTAGATCAGCTTTTAAATATGGATGAAAAATGAGAAATACCAGTACTTCTTTTACAAGACCTTGTTTGTAAATGCAAAGGCAAAACTATTTGTAGCAAATCTTGTGTGTGTGGGTGTTATTATTTATTACCATTTTTTTTTTGTCGTATGTATACGATTCTTCACTATTAGCTTACAAATCATGCTCATTTTTGTTCTGATGTTTTATGACAGTTTAACGGTATGATTTGAACAGACCAAGAACAGACACGTACTAACCAGTTTGTTGATTACTTTTTAATTTCTACAGAACTAAAACAAGATATGCAAATATTTTACATTTATTATATTATTAGATCATAAGACATAAAACATTACCAATCAGTCTGAAAAACATTCCCTTCGAATCAATATTATATAAAATATTTAATATAAATAAAGAGATGTGGTATGAGTGCCAATGAGACAACTCTCCATCCAAGTCACAATGTGTAAAAAGCAAACAATTATAGGTCAAAGTACGGCCTTCAACACGGAGCCTTGGCTCACACCGAACAGCAAGCTATAAAGGGCCCCAAAATGACTAGTGTAAAACAATTTAAACAGGAAAACCAAAGGTCTAATCTATATAAAAAACGAAAACGAGAAACATTTATGAACCACACCAACAAACGACAACCACTGAACTACAGGCTCCTTAAGTTTGTAAAGCAATTCTGGTGTTTTTTATCTAATTGTTAACCAAGAAAAATAATTGCATGGACAACTCTAGTACATACGTTTTACATACAGATTTAGCCGAAAATGTATTATGTGGTGGAGTATTAGTATCTTTTTTGATAACACAAAACAAAATTGAAAGATTTCGCAATAAAAATAGTGAATTTTCGACATACAATACCGGTTAACCACTAAAAACAACGATTGACCGATATACAGAACGGACAACCTATATATCTTAGTGAATAATCAGTAAATATACCCTTTAACCAAATGATATACCATATGCAAGTTCTGTATTCATAATGCTTAAGGCATACGATACAGTTTTGATCCCGTAATGAAATTTTGATGAAAATTTGCATATAGGCTATTTTTTACCTGCTTAAATCAGATATGCAATAAAACATATACCATCATGTGCTACTTTTTGAGTAAATTGAGGTTGAAATTTCAGATATTTCCTGAAAATTCGGATTTGTGGACGTATTTTTTCTTTCGACAGAAATACATAACTTTTATTGTTTTAAAAGATAAACACAAGCTGATTTTTGTTAAATTATTTGTAATTTCCGTTTTATATAAATGTTCTATAAATTTGTACACTTTATTTTTACAAATAACTCATATTTATGAAATGTTCATTAATGTAGAAAAAAAACGTCATTTTTTGCTGTATATTTATCAAATTTAAAATAATTGTACTATTGACTTTTTCATGAAAATTTGTACACATAATCTTCATACGTAATCAAACCAAATGTCATTTTAAAACAGAAGGGTCCATGAACTCGTTTTCAAGTTAAATCAGTTTGAATCAGTTTGAATGATAAAAATCAGTCGAAAACTGCATGTATTCCCGATAAGTCACAGTTTGACGTCGCGAAAATAACAATTAACGTTAGCAACGTCATTACTTCCCCTGTAACTGTATCGTATGCCCTTAAATTCATACTCGTTATGAGATAATTCATATGAACAATCGTTTAAGTGAAACCAAAAGGCAATAAATAGATACCTTCAGCTGCACCAATTAGACACATGTTTTATATTTTCTTATTTTCTTATTTACTTTTCGATTAGTTGTTCAATAACTTTGTACTTTATAATCACTATATATAATGATAAATGTTTATTGATATATACTTTTAAAATACTGAAATATAGGTGCATAAACTACATTTTTCATGTCAAGTACTCTTTGTTGGTACTGGTTATGGATTTGAAATATTTTGTAAGATTCCTGTTTTATAAAATCAATGACACAAATGTAAATGTATGACATGTTCCGACCGTGCAAGTCTCTCGTGGGTGAAGACTATTAACACTCCCGTAGTAATACATGTACGCTACCGATTTTAGTTAAACAACACGTGTGTCTTAAGTAACTTTTATTAATTACATCTTATATCATAAAACTGTATGGTACTTATGTAGTACAATAATTTGAAGTAGAAGACAAACATCATATTTATGTACATTTTCAGTGTTTCAGAGCGCAAAATAAGGTACAACTGCAAAAACAGTTTTTATAAAATTTGACAAATTAGTAAAACATGTAAAAACGGAGATTGGTTAAAGTGAAAGTTACAGGTTGCACTTTTGTTAATACAGACAATGCAATTTTCAATAGGAACTCCTTTTACGGCTAAAACTGTACGACTTTTACAATGAATTTTCGTAAAAAAATATATCCTACAATGGAAAACTCATATGCATATATTTTTTTCAAAAGTCAAAATACAAATGTATAGGGCTGTGCGGCATATTTTCAACATATGCCCCGAACTTCTTAGAGTTTAAACATATACTAAAATTCTGTACTACACCTCCCTTCACTTTGGGTCTTCCTCAGAATTCAATATCGCCGCTATACATGGGTACGTATACTTGTAACATCTCTACGAGATGAAACATAGAGATCATATATGGGAATCCGGGGGGTAAACAAAACAAAATATCTATGAATATTATATATATATCCCAAAAGAGGCGTGGTTTGTGAAACAACTGTATTTACAAAGTGCAACCTACAACTGTAAAGTCATTTTCATTGTTGCACAGATACGTGTAATGTTATATCATGTCGATATCATGTAATTGGTATATTGATAAATGTGTTTATTTTCAATTTCCAGGTGCTTTAAGGAGCTGTAATATTGGTTGGATACGTGAAAATAACTCATGTTACCACTTTAGTCGATTTGCTACAAACTTTTACACGGCACTGGTATGTGTTCATTTATTTTTCACAAACACCATTTTCTATACCGACACAATTTTTTCTGGGAGAGCTGAGGTATTTCAAAAAATGATAAGTAATATAATAACAAAGTCAAAGAAATGTCGGTATTTGATTTGTTCGTTTTTTGTGTTTGTGTTTTTTAATACACCAAACATCACAGTAATAAGTGTATTACTTTAAATATTAATTCCTATTTGTTTTTTATGAAACTTTTATAATTCCAAGAGTTTAGTAAAAGTTAAGATTATAAACTGTATAAATTATGTATATACATTGTATCCTGCTAGTGTTGAAACACAATTTTTTTTCAAATATGGAACAGTAACCCGATGCATATTTGGCTATTTCTTTATTATATCATTGCAAGATGGAAAAATGAAACTACAAACATACAACACTATTTTGGAGTGTAAAAAGTTCTTTGGGAATTTTAGGTAAATTACGTGCTTTTGATGGTCCTTATGATTCTGTCGACAGTTTTGACTTTTCAACTCTTCACACTACACTTCTATACAATCTTATGAAACAAAAGTTTTCCTATTTAATTAAACGGTCGTTTGGTAAATCTAAATGCAAATATTTTTTACTGCAACTCATTTAAAGTCTTCTTCTCTTATGAGAAAGGTAATTATGCTAGATGTACTTACGGGAGGTGTGATGAGATGATTGAAGCTGTTAATTTTCTCCTTGATAAAATTTATGTACGTTTCGGTAATACAAGTTTATCGACAGGCTGTAGGTATTCCTATGGCCACCAATTGTGTCCCTTTAGTAGCAGACTTGTTCTTGTACTATAACGAATCACAGTTTATGACCAAACTCAGTAAAGACTTGTCTAAATTGCATTTAATTGATAAATTCGACAACACTTACCGTTGAATAGGTGATATTTTTTCGTTAAATAATCAAGAACTTTCTTAATATACTGCCGAAATTTACCCAAAGAAACTTACTTTAAATAAATCAGATATAAACGGTAATAACTGTCCTTTCCTAGATTTAGATATTTCAGTTTTACACGGGAAACTCTACACTAAAATTTAAAACAAAAGGGACGATTTTTCGTTCCCATTGTTAAATTTCCTTTTTTGGACGGTGATGTTCCATTGGCACCGTCTTACGTCGTTTATATATCACAACTCGTTCGCTATGCCTATGTCTGTTGTGACGTTTTGGATTTCATTAACTAATCTATGTATTACTGGTAAATTATCAAGTCAGGGATTTCTTTACCCCAAATTACTTAAAACCTTTACTAAATTCTTCCATAGATATAAAGATTTGGTTTTGAAGTTTAGTTGTGCCTGTAGAAAACTTCTTTCAAACGGGATACCACATCCTCATTTTTAAGGAGATGTTGTTTACCGAGTCCAAAAATTTAGAAACGATCCGGGTAAACTTATCGATCCTTTAAATAAACTTATTCTTAAAGGTTACCATTTCAACTCTGTAATAGATCTTCGAATAGTGATTTTATTGGTATTAATATTGATTTTGTAAATTAAAATCAAACTAAATATTATTGGTATATACATATGCACAGTCATGGCTCTACAATCTGTCGATGCCTGTATCTTGGCATTGCACAATGTCATGTTTTCTCTGATTGTTTATGAAGTCTTTACATTAAATCCATTGGATGTTGGATGTGTACCGATTGATAAATTAGTCTTAGATGCATGATTTTTTTTTATAAGTTGTTTTTGGCTTTCAACTAGCTGTCAGTAACTGCGAGTACTCTCAGATCTGTACTTAGTGTCTTTTTGTTGTGGGGATGTATAAGTACCCGTCCACGTCCGCTCTGTGTTTTTGTTAAATGTATTTCTATTTGTAACCATCTAATGAGTTAAGCCTTGTTCGACTGATAGTTTGTTCTTATGTTGTACTGTTACACCACTGTCCCAGGTTAGGGGTTGGCGTCTTCAAACTAGTATAACCCCGCCATATTCTGCATGTGACTGTCCCAAGTCAGGAACCTGTAATTCTGTGGTTGTCGTTTGTTGCTGTGTTACATATTTGTTTTTCGTTCATTATTTCGTACATAAATTAGGCCGTTAATTTTCTCGTTTGAATTATTTTGCATTTGTCATTTCGGGGCCTTTTATAGCTGACTATGCGGTATGGGTTTTGCTCATTGTTGAAGGCTGTACGGTGACCTGTAGTTTTTAATTTCTGTGTAATTTGGTCTCTTGTAGTGAGTTGTCCCGTTGGCAATCATACCAAATCTTCTTTTTATATAAACACGAATAGGATTTTGTCGATAAATCAAGAGTATTTCAGGAGTATTTTTTTTCAGAATGAAATAAAGAAAATATGTTAAATGTAGTTATACACCATGTACATGTTGTATTCTTTAATAGCTTAAAATAACAAAACGACCATAACAATTATGTTGTTGACAGTAGAACTTCATAAAATGCATTTTATTGTGTGATCCAATTCGATGTTTATGATTTATCTCCTTTTTTATTTCATTTTTGTTTGAAAGAGTTTTTGCAAAACTATTGGTGGAAAGTTGATTGAGATTGACGACCAATCCGAATGGGATATGATAAAAAGATATGCTAAGAATCGAAGTGAGTATAATTCAAAAGATAAATTCTTTCTAAAAATAATAAAACCTAAAATACCACATGAACTTTTAAACAATTAACATCACAATACAAATTTAAGATGTGAAAAATCGGAAGATCAAAATCAAAACGACACATTTATAAAGTTTTACTTAATGAAATATATAAGCGACATCGACAGATACACAATGAAAAGCTAGAATATGCATTATGCTTTAGAATTCGAAGTGACAGTAGAAAACAACCTTTTTTTTCGAAATAACAAGTGCTGCCGTTGTCAATCAAAAATTTAGATGTAAAAATAACCTTATAGTACATGACTATTTTGTGATTTCCTTCGTAATTATGAAAAAAATAGATTCATCGATGAAAGTTATTTTTCTACCCCAAAATATTTTGCATCCAAAAGATTATGCCCTGGATATTAATAGAAATAGTTTCAAATTGCATGATTCAAAGGTCTGGTGGTCACCTACATTGATAGGTGAAACAAACTGTATGATGTTTTTTTCATGTTCTAAAAACGTGTTTCTAGATTTATCCTTAAATGAATAACGAATAGTGCAAGAGTGGAATATGTAGACATTTCATCCGAGTCATAATTGCCCATTATTTCGTCCATTATATTTTTATATAAGTGTTTTAAAGTTTGATATATCTTTTTGTAGGTTTTCTCGACTTTTTTATTGGTGTGACCGACTTATTCAGCGAAGGTGAATTGCAAAAAGCAACAACGTTGGAGAGACAAAATTACTTAATTTGGGGTAATCGTTTCTGTGTGTGTTACATTTTAATGTTGTGTTTTTGTTGTGTCGTTGTTCTCCTCTTATATTTGATGCGTTTCCCTCAGTTTTAGTTTGTAACCCGGATTTGTTTTTATCTCTATCGATTTATGTGTTTCGAACAGCGGTATACTACTGTTGCCTTTATTTATAGTCTTTCAGATATCTCTACATTATACCTATCGTGAAAATGGCCATGTCGACATATTGCCATTTTGCAAAATAAATGATTTAGAAACTGCAGCAAAACAAAAAAATGCTAAGAGTTTGTCGTATATGTATATTGCTTTTATTATATTAGGAACATCATCGTGTGCGGTCAATGCAACCCTAATATGGATCATACTTCGAAACAGGAAACTTTTAGAACACTATCTAATGTAATTAAAGTGATTTCTTATTAGGATTTATAGAATCTCCTATGGAAATGATGCATCATTTGTTGCCAGATTTTGACGTTATTGAATATGGATGCTTAGCCCATCAAGTTGTAATGATTTTGGTGCCACTTGTATCCATCGAACATTTATTATTGGATGCAGTTGAACGATTTGTTAAGATTGTATATGCTCTGCATTATCACAGGATAGCTATAAGATCCCGCGCAGTAATATTAAAAAGAGGGACATAAGATACCAGAGGGACAGTCAAACTCATAGATCGAAAACAAACTGACAACGCCATGGCCAAAAATCAAAAGACAAACAGACAAATAATAGTACAGATGACACAACATAGAAAACTAATTAATTGTTTTTACTTGGTTGTTTCCTTTTTCTGTGAGTCTGCTACCATTTACGGGGATACATCAGAACATGGAATCAACTAACAACACAGATAAAAACATGTGCCACATTAGACATGCTACCGTGTCCGTACTTGAATACTGTATTAGGTATGATTTTGGATAATTTGTGTCTTCATGGTCATTCTTTACACGGTGATTATGAAAATTGCGTACAGGCATGCCAAAGAATTGAGGAAAATTCAGATCCCTAAACAAAATGGTAAGATCTTTAAATCCTCCGAATTAAAGGAACTAATTGTTTTAGTAATGACAGTGATGTACTTTGTCTTGTCAAGGGCTCCGTTTAGTGCATCTATTATAGATGAATGTATGTCTGGTCAGATAGCCAGCTATTATACAACAGCGATCTTTATAGCTTATTTTAATTCGACTGTCAATCCTTTGATATATGGGATATGTAACAGGAAACTCAGAAATTCCTTCCTTGCAATTTGCAGTATACAAAAACGGAACGAAATAGCACCTGTTATCTTGATGACGGAGAGAAGATAGCAGAAAGCAATGTGTAATTCTATGGGAACAGACTAAATGCATAAAATACTTGAAACATTGAACGAAAATTAATGAATTTTAAAACATTAAAGAGCTGTTTGGTTATTTCTTGAATAGTCCAACTATGTGATTACTAATGTAATTTTCTTACTTGGATTTAGGTCTTGTAGCGGCACCAGAAAAGATAACTTAGTTATAATCAGAACTATAGCTAGGCATGTTATTTGAGGAAACCCACTTCTGTCCAAGATTGATATTATGAAATATCTAGGGAAAACGTCAAAAAATTATAAAATTTCAAAAATATTGTTAAATCATCAACCAATTCTCTTTTTTTTTGCTCGGGTCATTTCAAATTCATCAATGATACCAGGCGTATAATGAGATATGCAAGATGCGCGTTTCGGCAATATAAGACTCATCAGTAGCACTTGAATTAGCATTAATGACGATAGAATAATCCTTATTGCTTGGACGAACCAAGTTTATAAAGTGTTATTTTTTTTTAATGTAACCTGATTTCAAATTCGTCAATGATACCAGCATTATCATGAGATACGCAAGATGCGCATTTCGGCAATATAAGACTCATCCGTAGCTGTTGAATGAGCATAAATGACGATAAAATAATCCTTTTCTGCTCGGACGAACCAAGTTTATAAATTGTTATTTTTTATATTTTTTTTTTAATGTAACCGTATTTCGCTTCTAGTTTTGTAAATGGTTTGTTTTGCTTTTGCCTTAGTTTGTGTGTGACTTATTTTATGATATTTTATTTTCTAATCTCTGTTTCGTTATGTATCGGTGTTGTCTTTACTTTCTTTTCAAAACTAAAATTTGATTTGAATGTTTTACATTCGGTCATGATAAGGCTAACTTAATGTATATGTGCCAATCATGGCTTATAAATTAGGTAATACCTTAGGGTTAGATAAGAGACATGTTCCCATTAACTACTGAATGATACGGTGTCATCAGTTGTAACTTATTAACGTATTTTAACATGATGGTCATCAATAGTGCAAAAGGAACTGTGAACTCCTTCTGATGACCTTTATCCATTCCTGGTTGTTTTTGGTAGAGGCCGTGTAGTCAATATTTAGTGTTCTGTGTAATGTTTTGTAGGCAGTCGTTTGTCTTGGTGTAGTCTGTCTTTTCCTGGATGTATGACTTTTTCATTGGCATTGGCCCTTGTATACTTGATTGTTTTTATTGAAACCCTTATCTTAACAGAATACAAATTAAATTCTTCTGTTAAACCTTCTTAGTTTGAACATACAGTATTCATCAATGATATTTTTTGACGTGGCTACTTAAACCTTTACTTCTGAAAACAGCATGTCGAACACGCCTAAACATGCAATCATTGAAATCAAAGCTGTTATTAGACATAAGATTCATACCAATCTAATTAAAATACTGATCATGTGTCCATGCTTTCTTAGAAAACCTCGACAACACTCCGTACATTCTATTATGAATCACAGCTTATACAATAGGGTCATCAAAACATATCGAAAGCCAACTGAAAAAATAAGAATAACGACGCATTAATTTCGTGCGTCCGATGCACTTTTCTGGATTCACCCTCATCAGGAACAATCAAACCTAACCATTTGAAGGCCAGTGATTTACAAATGCATAGAAAAGCTAGATGCAATAGACACTTAAAGGGGCGAAAAAGAATAGCCAAATTCACCTAAGGTCAACTTAGGCTTAGGGAGTTGGAACCTTAGTTTCTTGATAATTTATAAATTAAACAACGGGGATTTTTCTAAATGAAAACTAAAAGAGGTGGAGGATAACAAAGATGATTGATCAATCCAACAAAAATCTATGACAGGTAAACAGATTAGTCACACCCTTTATTAGTGAAGGAGGATACATGATTTGTTTGATTCTTAACGTTTTGAAAACAAAACATTTCCAAAGGAAAGTGATACCAATATAGTTTTGTTTTCTGTTAAAAATAAGAAAAACACAACGCAGAATTATTGTTTAAAGTTTCTTGCTATATTATATCTTAAACATAATTAGTTTACTCTAAAGTTGAAGAAGAAGAAAGTTTCTCCGAGGAAAAACCCACGACCCTCGCGAAAGATAAATGGTCTTCGACAAATCGTGAACCATACATAATAATTAAGTGTGGTCGTGTACTGTATATACTGTTTTGTTTATAAGCTATATAATCCTGATGTTGTTTTACTGAAACGTAACTTCAATTTACGGAATACGGGGGTACAGAAAAGAGTATTGAAGCGACTTCTAGTAATCAAGTAACCTTCCTTGTGCTATCTATGTTCACCGTTGTCATTGATATGTCTTTGAAGGTCAAAAGTCAATCATATAATATAGGATCGTGTGTTTAGGTGTAAACACGTTATTGTGTTGGTTGTGAGGATGGAACAAAACCAAAACAGGTCAAGATTTACACACGAGGGTCTGGATGAGGATCTTTATTTCTATATTCTTTAATTTAAGATTTTTTTTTTTTTTTTTTTTTTTGCCATTTATTCTCAATTTATCACGTTTTAGTACCCAATTATTCTGTATTTATCACGTTTTAGTACCCAATTATTCTGTATTTATCACGTTTTAGCACCCCATTATTATCTATTCGTCACGATTTAGCACCCCGTTATTCTCTATTTATCACGGTTTAACACCCTTTTTTCTATTCTTTACTGTTTGGCATTTTATGCTCTTTTGTAAACCTCATACATAATAAAAAGACTTAACAGTAAATGCCAATGAAATAGCTTTCACAGAACACAAAATTACAAAATACTGACATCTGAAAGTCACCAACGACTTTAACTATTGTCAAACATGGTCAGCGTTTGAAACGCCATAATCAATCTGAGTCTAGACAAGTTATAAATGAAGGCAACAGGTACTACCAACATCTTACACCATAGACAGGTACATGTAATAGTATGGACTCTTGAGGATTAGAAGATAAATTGTTTCATTTTCATTCCTAAATGTGAATGACAGACCAATTGTAGAATAGCTTAGTCTCTTGCAAGTGTATGTAGTACGAGTTAAGTTTATATGTAGTAAATACGTTGCGTTGAACCAGGTGTCGGTCGGGAAAAAAAGTTCATCCGTTAATCTACGAAACAAGCTAAGAACAGAAGTAAAGTATAACAGTTTAATTAAACAAAAAACAAAATAACCACAAGATTCGTATCTGATTGTCATTTGTAATACGCGTCCAACCCAAAATAAAAGTTCTAAACCGCCAAGAGAATATATAAATGATGTCTCATTAATAGGTTAGATTAGACGATTAAAACATCACACAATGTGGTTGTGTTCAAGAACTGTTAAGAAACTAGGTTAACTTTTGAGGGAATTCCCTTGAACTCAATCGTATGGAATAGATTAGCCTATTAGAATATGCTTTATAAGCATCTACAAATAAGTATATATGAGGGTGCATCCAGATTGGGTTAACAGAATAGAGAATAACGGCAAAATGGATAATATATAGAGACAAATGTCGAAAACAAAGTAAAAAATAGAGAATAATTGAGTGTAAAAGTAACAGATAATATTATACTGATTACAACTAGAGGCTCTCAAGAGCCTGTGTTGCTAACCTGCATTTTCAACAATGGCCACTTTTTAGTAAAAATCATCATTTGAAGGGAAATAACTCTTTAAAGAGTTAACTGACAATTTCAGTCACGCTGACATATTTGTAGATCTTATCCTGCAGATAATTATTCCTTTTTAAAGTTCCTTTTTATCTGTTCAAGATAATATCCAAACAATGCAAAAATAAATGTTAAAAATTATCATTATAAAAAAAAACAACTACAAAAACGAGTCGACTGAAGATTTTGGCCATATTGTCTTATTTGTGGATCTTGTCTTGCTGATCATAAGTGCTTTTTAAAGTTTCTATCCATCTACTAGTATCACAGTTTTCAAGATAATAGACAAAAATGGGGAAAAAAGTAATTAAACTTCAATAAGGGGTCGACTAACAATTTCGGTTATTGACTAATTTGTAGATCTTGTCTTGCATTTACTGATCATGTTAGCTATTTAAAGTTTCTATCTATCTAATATAATTTTCAGGATATGAGGCAAAAGTGCAAAAAAAGAGGGTAAAAATCGTCATTATAGGGCAATAACTCTAACCAGGAGGAAGATTTCGGCCATGTTTGGACTTTATTGTAGATCTTGTCTCTATCTAATATAATTTCATTTATAGCGGTTTTCAAAATAATAGGAAAAACTTGTATTTTACCCCTATGTTCTATTTCTAGCCATGTCGGCCATCTTGGTTGGCAGGCAGGGTCATCGGACACATTTTAAAAACTAAATACCCCAATGGTGATTGTGACCAAGTTTGGTTACATTTGGCCCAGTAGTTTCAGAGAAGAAGATTCTTGTAAAGATTAACAGACGACGACGACGACAGACGGACGTCTATGTGACGAGAAAGCTCACTTGGCCTTATAGGCCAGGCGATTTAAAAATGAATGATGAACAAAATAAAGAAATCATACTTACTGATAAGTACAAAATTAAATAATTTTTATCATAATTTAACAGAAAAGGTGTTATTCTTAAAGATGAAGAAAAATGTCCTAATTTTTTTTTGAATACAGACATTAAGGACCCCCATCCACACCCTCATATACATTTTGTATATACATATAAATGACAACACAGCAGGAAAAGATTAACCTTAAGTGAAGTAGTTTCGTAAATCTGTTAAAGCTGTTCTCTCTGGTCTAAAAGTTAAGCTTTAATTAGAACAGATTTATAAAGTGTAACCAAGTAAAATTAGTTTTCAGAAAGAACCTTGTTCCAAGAAATTTTATTTTGAATAAAAATAAGTCACTTTGGACGTTGAACTTAGAACTAGTTCACAATCACAAAACACAATGAAGGGTCGCATCTCTTTGAATTTTTTTTTTTTTTTTTATGATAACAGATTTTATCATCATGATGAATTTACAAATATCTTTTGAGGAAGTTACAACTCTTCACAGGAAAAGATTGCCTATAAAATTAGTCACTTTGGACTTTATAGGCTCAGTTCAAAATAACAGAAACAATACAGTGCCCTATTCTAAATGAAAGCATTTGCACATTTTTTAAATCTTTCATGAGACAAAAAACTTCGCCATTAGCTTTGCTGGAAGTCAGCCTCTTCACAAGAATAGATATTTTTGATATAAAAAAAGTCACTTTGGACTCGGGATCATCTCAAACTAACAGAAGCAAAACATAACACACATTGATTAAACCTTTACTGAAAACACATATCATCAATAGTATCATGATACACCACCAAGAATTTACCCACGTTTTTTTGGTACATTTCTACCCTCGTATATATCAGTACTGTTCAGCAAGGCTGAAAACTTGTAATGTTATACTTTCTATTAATTCAGTACTGTTTATTATTATACAAAAACGGTACAATTACAAATTCTATAAATTCAGTACTGATTTTTTCAGTACTGTTTCAATACTGATTTCGTCAGAACTGTTTCAGTACTGTTTCAGTACTGATTTTGTCAGTATTATTTCAGTACTGATTTTGTCAGTATTATTTCAGTACTGATTTTGTCAGTACTGTTGTTGTCAGTAATGTTTCAGTACTGATTTTGTCAGTAATGTTTCAGCACTTATTTTGTACTGTGAGTTTACCGATTTTATTAGTACTATTATTGTACTGATTTTTTTATTCACCGTTTTAGTAAATACTTACTTTTTAGTGCGCACCTAATCGATATCAAAAATAGTTGTTTCTTTAGGTATAGCTGTAGCAATCGATTTGATGTTGTTAATCTTTTTAATTTGAATGCATATTGTTTCAAAACATTTTGGGAACTGAAAACTTATAAACTAGGTAACAGTACTGACGAAATCAGTATTGAAACAGTACTGAAAAAATCAGTACTGAATTTATAGAATTTGTAATTGTACAGTTTTTGTATAATAATAAACAGTACTGAATTAATAAAAAGTATAACATTACAACAATAGTCTTGCCGAACATTACTGATATGTACGAGGGTAGAAATGTACCAAAAAACGTGGGTAAATTCTTGGTAGTGTAGGAAGAGATTTATTCTAAAATTTAACCACTTTGGAATTTGATCAGTTTAAAGACACAAAGGCAATGATGGCTCTCCATTTGTAAGATAAAATACACACATTGATTTAACCAATGCTTAAATGTAGCTGTAATGTGCATATAATCATAATCAGGCTGCACAAATGAACATTGAAGCTCAGATGTACCAGGAACATATATATTGACATAGATATATTGTTCCCAGGATGTACGGACGATTATATGTATTATAGTATGTCTATTTTTGTTGATCTGTACTGTCTATTGTTGTCTAACTCTTAGATAATGTATGCAATAGTTCACATTGTACATTGTATATGCTTGATTGATTGTTGGTATCTTTACATCCAGTTACAAATATGTCATGCATGTTCCATGTGTTCAGAACGATGTATATGCTTAATAAAACAGAACTTACATCACTTTAAAGGAAATAGGGATATGATGTATTAAATCACGACACGAAATCCTGGCATTCACTTGATAAACAAAAGCAAATAAGTACTTTAATTGCTGTTTCTCATCTCAAAATTAGCTTTCCTCAGCGAACTAGTTTGCATATAATTAAAAATATTCAGGCAGACCTTTCAAATATTTGCTTCTGGACAGTAATATAAGAGTAATGTATATCATTTTGACATTCTGATATATTTACCATAATTTTCAGTATTGTGCTGATATACATACATCAACCCATTGGTCTGTCAAACACATTTAACACGCTGGATCATTTTTCTGGCAGTCAGTGTTATTTTGAATGGAATTGGAAAATAATGAACCTGACCACTAGCCATCAGACTCTTTCACACGAATCAAGAGTGAGTGCATGTAACTATTTATGCAAATAACTAAAAAAAGCATGGTCACTAACCATCAAACTTGATTGAGTGTACAATGCTATTTATGCAAATAAATTGTTGACACAGAGATATGTCTCACCTGTCAGCAGAAAAATCCTATCAAACTCATTTAAGCAGAAGACTTAACATTAAAAAGTGCTAATTAATACAATTCACTGTACCATGACCTAGGACTCCAAACAGTATCAAACGGATAGAAATGCAACTTTATACAAAATATCATTTATCTATCAAGAGTAGTTTCTATCAAACAAAACATAACATTGAAAATTGCTTATTAATTGAAAGTCACTGGACCATGACCTAGGGGACCTGGCCTCTAAATAGTCGTCAAACTGATATGCACAGATAGTAATGCAACTTTATAAAAATATCATTGATCAATCACAAGTAGCTCCTATCAAATTGACTTAAGCAGAAAACTTAACAATTGTTGATGCTGTCGCCATCGCCAGAAAAGCAACAACCATGTCTCACCTTCCTGAAATGTCGTCGCAGGCAAGACAAAGATTTTGGCACAAACAAACAAATTTGATTGAGTGCACAATCTTTATTATGCAAATAATTGTAAATAGTCTAACCACTACCAAATAAACTTTATTGAGTGCATTTTGCTATTTATTCAAATAATTGAAATCAGCATGGCCAATAACCATTGCTTGATTGAGTGCACATTGTTATTTATTCAAATTACTGGAAAGTCAGTCTCAATTGCCTTCTCCGGTGCTTTTAACCTGAAGTTACCAGTACAGGTTGCTGTTGACCAACTGTGAATTGTTTATCACAATAACAACATGATTCAAAACATTAATTTTAATTACAAAAATATATCATTTTCATATAAATGTAAGTCATTTTTACCAAAAACAAATTATAAAAGTCTAATTAAATTGTTTTTATTTTTAGCTCAATTTTGGTTCACCTCCTACAATACCGGATTCAATTCCACATTCATCATTACCTCTCAGAATCTTGAAGAAACCTGTAAATAGAATTGAAATGATGAGAGGAAGATTCTATATGCAGTCTCATATTAAAGAGGCAACAAGTCCTATTAAAATAAAACTTGGAAAAGGTTCCAGGCTTATAATTTGGTAAAACAAAGGTGTAATTTGTCTGAATAAAACTAATCAATGGCACTTAAATCAAACCTGTTGAAAGGCGCAATCAAAAATGAAGTTGTCGAGATTTTCTTTTTAAAATAAACATTGCGAAAAAATGGTGACAAATACAGTTAAGACAATATTTGCCTGTAGGTAGAAAACATTAGTGTTTTAAATAATTCAGCATTTTATAAACAAACAAGAATGTGTCCATAGTACACGGATGCTCCACTATGATAATGTGAAATTGGTGTCAAAACTCTAATTTGGCATTAAAATTAGAAATATCATATCATAGGGAACATGGGTACTAAGTTTCAAGTTGATTGGACTTCAACTTCATCAAAAACTACCTTGACCAAAAACTTTAACCAACATCTTTAACTCGAAGCGGGACAGATAGACAGAAGAAACGAACGAACGGACGGACAGATGAACTAAGATGCACAGACCGAAAAAACATAATGCCCCTACGTGGGGCATAAAAATGAACATATCAATCATATTTCATGTCAACACAAAATCAAAAATTGCCAAATTGTACTGATTTATCAATGAACCTGCATTTTTATTGCTGTTCTCTATCATGACAGTTGCTATTGTGAGAGAACATGACACTATTATTACATGTGACAACTTACTAAGTTACACACTTGTACATTCTAATAGGCCAAACAAACACCTCTCGTTAGCGTAGGTTTTAATGCAAGATGGATAAAGTTGAGGAGACTATATTTATTTAACCTACTAAATGTTTTGGGTTCCCCTAGTTGGAAAAGATATATAAAATATAGAAAAGATAAATTTAATATTACACAAACCTGCATTTCCCCAGTCTGGGTTCCATGAGTTGGCAACCAGCCAGTATTTATCTCCATTTTCTGTTCCCCATCCAATAAGTTTAATAGCATGGCCTCCTAAAGCACTTCCTGTTGTATGCTTGTATACACCTTGAGAAAAAATCATTAAATGATTAATTGCTGCTAAACATTCAGATGCAAATATTGCATGCATACTTATGTCATATATCATCATATTTGGTACGAGGAACATGACGGATGACACATGTGGAACAGGATCTGCTTTAATACCCATTCAGATCATCTGAGATCATCCCAAGTTTTTGGTAGTATTCTTGTTGCTCAGTCTTTAGTTTACTGTGTAGTGTTTCATGGACTTTTTCCCTTGGTATCTGCCACCCTCATTTTTAAGGTGGTACCTATCCCTACAGGGAGATAACTCTGTAAAAATCAGCTAAACGTTTTAATTACGTTGTATTGTTAAGGAAATATTAAGCTTCTCAATGATCAAAATTAGTGTTTGTCAAACTGCTACATAACCAATGAAATTTTTCTGATAAAGTGGTTGGTTCAAATTTTTTGAAATTTTTATATTTTTGTCAAAGGGTCAAAGTAAACATTTTGTCAAAATTTCATGAAAATTAAACGAGCCAAATTAATATTAGTCAAGGTGTTGGGTACCACCTTAATTGAGTATACTTTCCTTGAATGTGCACAAAAAGACTATCAAGACAGTATTTAATTGATAAAAATTGTGCCAACTTATTGTTAATAATATATAAAGTCATTTCAGTACCAAGCTAAAATGATTGTAGTATGTACCCTTGTTTTCTAATAAATTTTTTTTTGTTTGATCATGAAAATCCTCAAGATTTTGTATGTATAATCATAGCAGTCCTATTTTCATGTCTTATTAACAAATTTTCATAATACTCTTGCATAAAATAGTTCTTAACTAAACAAGGCTGCAATGAATTACTGTTAATTGAGGAACATTGACATATTGATTAAGACGGGAAGAATTGTTGAAATTATGAAAAATTGCAAACACATTATTTACATATTAAATCCCTATAGGACTGATTCATAAACACTACACATTTTTGTTTAGGGGCCAGCTGAACCTGCCTCTGGATTTTCTCGCTGTGTTGAAGACCCATTGGTGGCCTTTTCTACTCTTTGGTCGGGTTGTTGTCTCTTTGAAACATTCCCCATTTCGATTCTCAATTTTAACTAACAATTACCTGATTTGTAAGTTGGGAAATCAGCATATACTGTGAAAGCACCCTCTACTGGACCATTAGTCATAATTTCTGTCATAATTTGTGTTTCCTCTCTTCGTACAGCATAAGCAGACATACCTTAAGTAAAATTTAGATAAATTGCAATGAATAAAATATCATCTCAAAATAATAGTATCCTAAAATCATGTTTACTAGTAACCTAAAAAAAATGTGTGGTTCCCCTTTGACATCATCAGCATTGAATCTTAAACATGACATGTTGTAAACACTACACAGGTGATCAGCAAGGAAATATGATATCACAATCGACTTCCACCAATGAAGATCTGAGAAATTATTAACCATATAAATTAATTATCAAACTATACATAGAATAATGAATGAAAATGTATAGTTGGGAAAAAGAATAAATCTGCTATTATGAAAAAAGTTTTATAACTCAGAATTTTTGCTTTGATGCAATCTATAAAAATCAAAATGAAAATAATATCCCAGGCAGAGGTCATCATTATCTCGACTAATCAGTTCATAAAGTAAAACTATAGAAATTGAAGCTAAAACAACAGTTTTACTACATGTACTTGGTTTGAAAACACAAACTACAATATATTCATAATAAAAAACTGCTTATACCTGGCCTTGTAAATTTCAACAAATGATTCAAAATGACAGTAACATAGAAGATTGGTATTTGGAACAAATATTCATTAAATACATCTGAGACCTATCATAATCGCATAATTTTGGCTCACATATGAAAACAAGGAGATGTTGGGTATAGAAGAAGCAGACAACAACCAAACAACTTCCACAGAAAAAATACATAGACATCTTATAAGAAACTACAAGCTCTGAATCATCCAAAAACTAGATTAAGAATAAATTTAACCACATTCCTCCAAGGGTTATTCCATTAAAATGTATGTGGGAGGGTAGGAAGGGACTTACAAAATATCCCTACAACCAAGAACCACTTTTTAGATAACTTTGCATAATGGTAATAGACTCATACTGAAAAAAGACCCATGACCCACATTCAATAATTAAACTTCCCTTTCTACCCTCCCACATACATTTTAATGGGCTCTCACGATTTAACAAAAGACAGTCAATCATAAGGTTATTCATGTTATTGAAGAATGTACTTAGGTGAGATTAAAAAAATCTAAACTTTCAAAATTGGTACTATAAGTTGATGAGTATTAGTTAAGGAACAAAATAAGCTAAAATATTGATAGGTTATGGAGCTCCTTTTCGAGATATTTAATTTTTTAAAAGGCGAGAACTTTTACCTTCTATTTGGTATTATTTGGGTCTCAAATTGAAAGAAATGAAATCTAGAATCTGCTTAAAGTTTTGTAAATGACCTTTTATGAGCTATTGACGTCTTATATGAAAAGAAAATTGGGGGTTATGATGCAAAATATTTTACCCTGTATCGTAGGAAAAAAACCAAGGAGTCTGAACATCTGACCCAAATTCCTAAACCTGACCGAAGTACATTCTTAAAGCTCTACACATTAGTTTTAATAAGTATACAATACATCATAGCCTAATTCACATATGTGTTGATAGAAATACACTTACCAAAATGTTTATCTTGAGTATAAGATACATTATAACCCGCTTCACATTTATGTGTACACTTAGGGGTCTTAGAATCTTTCTTTGCACATGGCTCTAGTTTGCCAACAACATGATGATCACAAGCCTTGATGGTGTATGGCTGACATCCCTACAAAGATAAATTATTCTTCAATAAGCATGAGGAAAGTAAAGCATTAATAAAATGTATTTCCAATACTGTGGATTCATTTTTTTTTTTTGGATATCAATTTTGGTGTATTGAGTTAAATTAATTCTTATTACATTTGATTTAATGGTTTTGTAATATTATTCACACCAGACAGTTCGAGGGGGGGAGGGGGCAGGGAGGGATGTCAAAATACAGGCCCTCCTGGTCTTCATGTAGGATCGTCAATGGTAAATCATCTATTGGTAATGCATAATGAATAGAAATTTAGAATTTAGACTGACAGGCCTTGATTTTTCTGCAAATACCCTACAATGTATAATACAACATGTAAAATGTATTAATCAAACAACTACCCTACAAGGTATAATACACCATGTAGAAGGGTATAAATCAAACAACTACCCTACAAGGTATAATAAACCATGTAAAATGTATTAATCAAACAACTACCCTACAAGGTATAATACACCATGAAAAAGGTGTTAATCAAACAACTACCCTACAAGGTAAAATACACCATGTAAAATGTATTAATCAAACAACTACCCTACAAGGTATAATACACCATGTAAAAGGGTATTAATCAAACAACTACCCTACAAGGTATAATACACCATGTAAAATGTATTAATCAAACAACTACCCTACAAGGTATAATACACCATGTAAAAGGGTATTAATCAAACAACTACCCTACAAGGTAAAGTACACCATGTAAAAGGTGTTAATCAAACAACTACCCTACAAGGTATAATATACCATGCAACAGGTGTTAATCAAACAACTACCCTACAAGGTATAATACACCATGTAAAATGTATTAATCAAACAACTACCCTACACGGTATAGTACACCATGTAAAAGGGTATTAATCAAACAACTACCCTACAAGGTATAATACACCATGTAAAAGGGTATTAATCAAACAACTACCTTACAAGGTATAATACACCATGTAAAATGTATTAATCAAACAACTACCCTACAAGGTATAATACACCATGTAAAAGGTGTTAATCAAACAACTACCCTACAAGGTATAATACACCATGCAACAGGTGTTAATCAAACAACTACCCTACAAGGTATAATACACCATGTAAAATGTATTAATCAAACAACTACCCTACACGGTATAGTACACCATGTAAAAGGGTATTAATCAAACAACTACCCTACAAGGTATAATACACCATGTAAAAGGGTATTAATCAAACAACTACCTTACAAGGTATAATACACCATGTAAAATGTATTAATCAAACAACTACCCTACAAGGTATAATACACCATGTAAAATGTATTAATCAAACAACTACCCTACAAGGTATAATACACCATGTAAAATGTATTAATCTTTCAACTACCCTACAAGGTATAATACACCATGTAAAAGGGTATTAATCAAACAACTACCCTACAAGGTATAATACACCATGTAAAATGTATTAATCAAACAACTACCCTACAAGGTAAAATACACCATGTAAAATGTATTAATCAAACAACTACCCTACAAGGTATAATACACCATGTAAAAGGGTATTAATCAAACAACTACCCTACAAGGTATAATACACCATGAAAAAGGTGTTAATCAAACAACTACCCTACAAGGTAAAATACACCATGTAAAATGTATTAATCATTCAACTACCCTACAAGGTATAATACACCATGTAAAATGTATCAATCAAACAACTACCCTACAAGGTATAATACACCATGTAAAAGGGTATTAATCAAACAACTACCCTACAAGGTATAATACACCATGTAAAAGGGTATTAATCAAACAACTACCCTACAAGGTATAATACACCATGTAAAAGGGTATTAATCAAACAACTACCCTACAAGGTATAATACACCATGTAAAAGGGTATTAATCAAACAACTACCCTACAAGGTATAATACACCATGAAAAAGGTGTTAATCAAACAACTACCCTACAAGGTAAAATACACCATGTAAAATGTATTAATCATTCAACTACCCTACAAGGTATAATACACCATGTAAAAGGTATCAATCAAACAACTACCCTACAAGGTATAATACACCATGTAAAATGTATTAATCAAACAACTACCCTACAAGGTATAATACACCATGTCAAAGGGTATTAATCAAACAACTACCCTTCAAGGTAAAGTACACCATGTAAAAGGTATCAATCAAACAACTACCCTACAAGGTATAATACACCATGTAAAATGTATTAATCAAACAACTACCCTACAAGGTATAATACACCATGTAAAATGTATTAATCAAACAACTAACCTACAAGGTATAATACACCATGTAAAAGGTGTTAATCAAACAACTACCCTACAAGGTATAATACACCATGTAAAAGGTATCAATCAAACAACTACCCTACAAGGTATAATACACCATGTAAAAGGTATCAATCAAACAACTACCCTACAAGGTATAATACACCATGTAAAAGGTATCAATCAAACAACTACCCTACAAGGTATAATACACCATGTAAAAGGTGTTAATCAAACAACTACCCTACAAGGTATAATACACCATGTAAAATGTATTAATCAAACAACTACCCTACAAGGTATAATACACCATGTAAAAGGTGTTAATCAAACAACTACCCTACAAGGTATAATACACCATGTAAAAGGTATCAATCACACAACTACCCTACAAGGTATAATACACCATGTAAAATGTATTAATCAAACAACTACCCTACAAGGTATAATACACCATGTAAAATGTATTAATCAAACAACTACCCTACAAGGTATAATACACCATGTAAAAGGTGTTAATCAATCAACTACCCTACAAGGTATAATACACCATGTAAAATGTATTAATCAAACAACTACCCTACAAGGTATAATACACCATGTAAAATGTATTAATCAAACAACTACCCTACAAGGTATAATACACCATGTAAAATGTATTAATCTAACAACTACCCTACAAGGTATAATACACCATGTAAAAGGTATCAATCAAACAACTACCCTACAAGGTATAATACACCATGTAAAATGTATTAATCAAACAACTACCCTACAAGGTATAATACACCATGTAAAATGTATTAATCAAACAACTATCCTACAAGGTATAATACACCATGTAAAATGTATTAATCAAACAACTACCCTACAAGGTATAATACACCATGTAAAAGGTGTTAATCAAACAAGACAAATATTTAAGACCAAACTGGAAAAAAATTAATAACAAGAACTTTCAGGCAACAGGTTGTCTACAGTAAAGGCAGGCTAGAGCAGACATTCAGGATTTTCTCGCTGTGTTGAAGACCCATTGGTGGCCTTGGGCTGTTTTCTGCTCTTTTGTCGGATTGTTGTCTCTTTTCCATTCTCAAGTTTATTCCCAGAACAAGGTAGAAAAATTAGAAGGCCTATATAGAGGTCAACATACAGTTTTATCAATAGATAGATATCTATAATCATGTCAAGCTCTAAAATTACCCCCTTGCTTAAATAGTTGTGAATAAACTAAACAGAAACTACTAAATATCTATTCTAATGACGTGTTAAACGCCACTTAAAGCAAACATGGCTATAACATGGCGACAAATTTTTATTGCAAGAAGATGGGTACCCGGCAAGAAACACTGACATTTGGCAGGAAAACTGGCAATTCCTGTCTATTCAGATTGAAGTTGAACATAACTTGCAAGAGCAGAGTTCGAACTTCCAATGTCATAGCTGACAGGCTATAGCTAGTGATCACAGTAATGAACCACCTAGACCACTCGGCCATCAAGGCCCCCTGAAAATCTGCCATTTACACAGATTTTCAAATAACAAAACATATTAAGACATTAGACAATATATATAATAGAATATATCACCCATCAGTTTTTAAAACAGGTCCTACATCAGAATAGCATAGATGGTGAATAAAAATCACCACAATTTAATTAGTCAAGTTAGTCATGTTAGTTGTATAAACGTACCTGTTTAGTGTTGTATTGGCCTCCAGTTACAAGACCGTCTTTTTCCCAGTACTGCCAAGCTGCCTCAGGAAAACCTCCATTACATCTACAATAAAGCGAGATCTAACCATAATAAGCAGATGTAGAAATAGATCCAGTATTTTGTTTTGCTTTTGTAAATATATTCACTGGTTTTCAAAAAGAACATGGAACAGTGATTTTTAAAAGACAAAATACTTTTCTGAACAGGACAACAAATATTTGGAAAATTTTAAAACAATCTTCTATTTTATAAGTTGAAGTAATTTTACAGTTCTTCTTGCTATTTTTTTACCTAGAAAGGACTGTAATTTAAAAAATAAATCATATTGTGTTTAATTTTCTTTTGGTATTCTTTGGAAAAATATTAAGTTCATTCAAAAGTCATTAAAATGATACACGAATGAACCATATATTTTCCCATAAAAGTAATTATGATAAAAATGATAAAAGATCTCATGCAAAATTAATAAACATTTAAAGTTGATGTGAATTTCAAGCTATTTAAAGAGTTTTCCTGATTAAACTTATTATTCAAATGAAATGTTGTAAAATAAGTTTAGATATTTAAGAAAAAGCCTTCAAGAAAAAGGAAGAAAGACAAGTTTGATAGACTCATTCTTTTAATATTTTATATTACAGTGCGTCTTTTTTAATAGATAAAAAGAGATGAGGGTTATGTCAATGAGACAGCAACCAAACAACACAAAAAACAAAAGACATTTAAAGACCAGTGTAACAATGTGTCCGATCTGCTGGGACACTTCTAAGGACATGAAGGATATCCCAGAAAATTCCAGATCATCCCATTATAATATTTTGTAAAAATCTGGGATATATTGGGTATAAATAACAATATAGGATATCCCAGAAATCACAGACGTTTCTGTACAAGCACTTTCTGGGAAATACCGGGATATCCAAGGATATTGTCTTATTTCAGTTAAAATGTAGGTCTTCAGGCTGTCGTGAGTGTTTGTAAAAGTCTCAATTTACCATAGTAATTAATTAATAATTATATTAAAAATTAAAGAGGATGTTAATCAAGAAATTGAGAAAAAAAAATACAAAATACCTTAATTATCATGGTACATCCTGGTTTAAAAAAAAAAGTAATTCATCACTTTTCTGTGCAAATAATAAATTTTTACCCAAACATTTATTATACCATGTTACAACATAGATATTTCCATTAGCAAGCAAGGCAAAAAAATTTACAAAGACAAATTGTATATTTTTTGTGAGCCAAGCTACACATGGTCTTTTTGTATTTCCATTTAGATAAAGTAATTATAACACTGCTTTTAAGTTCTACACAAGAAAAATTTTATTCTCAGTGTCAATAGTCGTCAACTCTATGGCAAGGAGATGTCTAACAGTTGGATGTAATTTATCTTCCTTTAATTTAAGTATTTTAACATCAAATACACATTTATTAGATTAGTGGTGAAATTACAATATTCAATGCTGACTACCAGAAAACCTGAAATACTTGAGTTAAGTAATTTAATATGTCTAATACGTTTTTCTTTCTGGCATACTATTTTGAAAACAAAGCGATATCATTGAATTGACAACAACTCATTCACATTTGGAGATATTATTCCTAGGTCTTTCAAGAGCTGGTGGCATGTCTAAGATTTCTCTAAGTTTTTCCAGGTCGACATACAGTCTTCAACATTAAACAGGTACCTATACACTATGACAAGCTCCAAATCGTCTCAAGTCGCAACATGAACAAAAAGTTATAAAAAATGAAAAGAGTAATTGAACAGTGACTATCAAAGACCTGTAAACAACACTAAATTATAAAAATAAAGAAAAACTTAAAGATACGATTTATAATAACCACTGAAGAGGTTCCTGATTTTCTTTTACTATCCTTACCCATTTCCACAGGTCCTACAACAATCATTCATATCTTCGGCTGATAAATGAGCATTTACTTTTCCTGCAGACTTGATACAGATTCTATCAGACATAGCTTCTACTGCACCAAAGGCCTAAAAAATACAATTAAAAATTCCTATTTATCTTTATTGCTTTATATCTTCAGTTCCTTTAATTTTGTTAGTCTGTTCATTTTGTTGAAATTAAGTTAAATGAACAAACTTGCTGGACAAATTAAATAAACTAATTTCACAAAAAAATACTTGTAATTCATGAACTTTCATTATATCTTACAACCATTTTTTGTGAGTTTTCTGTTTCAGTTTTCTTTCTTTATATTTTAATAGAAAAACAAAGTATATGGGGTATCAATCCATGACACAAAATCAGTAAATGCACAATGTTACATACATGTACATATATGGTTAAACAGGTCCACGTTCTTAAAGTGACTGTTCCAAGTCAGGGTTTGTCGTTGGATCATGTCTGTCATATTTGTTTTTTATGTAAATTGTTTTGATATAAATTTGCCCTTAGTTTTCTCAATTGAATTGTTTCAAATTTTTCATGTTGGAGTCTTTTATAGCCGACTTTGCAGTATGCTTTTTCGCATTGTTGATGGCCGTACGGTTGCCTATGTGCCTTCATCCACATCATTTGAACTTTAGTGGATTGTTGTCTCATTAGCAATCATGCCACATCACCTTATATTTATATCATTTTACTTATCATTTTTCTTACCCAGCAAGATCCACAGTCTCCTTGGTCTCTGACTTCTTTGATTGTTGGACAGTTTGGCCATTGTGTTCTGGAATCAAAGGTATCTGGAAGGTCCTGTGCAGCTACAATGTTTTTGACTGGAAGTTTCATGTGTTCTGGAGTTGGCAATACACCACAAAGTTTCTTTACGTAAGCAAGTCTGTCTTGTTTTGGAATGAATTCGAAGTTTTCACCAGCCTAAAATAAAAGAGAGAAATGCATGAATGAATCAATGAATGAAAAAATTTAAAATAATAAACTGTTAACACAGAGATATGTCTTGCCTATTTGTAATTTTGATAATGCAAATGTTAAAATTAAAGCAGCAATACTTTAACATGTAAGTTATGCAAATATTCAAAGTCAATGAACCATGACTGAAGGTACAGGTCTAAACAATCTCCATGGAAATGAGATGTGCCAACGCTAATACAACTGCAAACCAAATACCATTGACTTTTCATAAGTCGTTACCTTTAAACAAACCTAAACACAAACATTAACTTGTAAACTATGTAAAAGTTTCAAAGTCAATGAACCATAATTAGGGGGTGGGGTTATATAATCTCCATGGAAATGAAACTTGCAAATGCCAATACCATACCGAATATCATTGAGTTAACATTAGTGGTTTATCTTAAACTGACCTAATCACAAACTAATACATGTAAACTAATCAAACGTTTCAAAGTCAATAGACCATGACTGAGTGGTAAGGACCAAATATTCTCCATGGAAATGAGATGTGCTAATGCTTATACAACTGCATACCAATTATCATTGACCTACCACTAACGGTTCACCTTAAACTGACCTAATCACAAATCAATACATGAAAACTAAGCAAAAGTTTCAAAGTCAATAGACATTGACTAAGGGGGCAGGGCCAAATAATCTCCATGGCAATGAGATGTGCCAATGCTTATACAACTGTATACCAAATATCATTGACCTACCACTAGTGGTTCACCATGAACTAGACCTAATCACAAACTAATACATTGTTCACGCCACCGCCTTTGCTGACACCGGAAACAGCATACCTATGTCTCGCTTTTTGACTCTGTCAAGGCGAGACAAAAATGTTTCCACTGCCTCTTCAATATATTAAAGTTTCTATTTTCTTTTCTTTTGGTATGTTTTTTTTTTGTATTTTTCTCTGTTATATTTTTTTTTGGGGAGGGGGGGGGGGGGGGGTGTTGCAGAGGGGGAAGTCTGTTTGATTTTCAATGTTTCCCTTATTTCTTTGCTAGTTAATTTTTTATCACTAATACATATAAATATACATTTAAAAATACATGTTCATGTATGACTGCTTGATATACATAACAATCTTTATAAACCTTTAAACCATATATATACTTAAACAAAAGGAAGGAAACTATCACTTAAAACATGTTGGGAAGAAAGATACATTTTTGTAAATGTATTTCCAATACATGAATGTGATTCATATCAAAATGTATGTGAATATGTTTATTACATGTATAATAAGTAAAAAGGGTAATATAATGTTTGTATTCAACCATTTAAAAAAAGGTTTAAATGCAAATATGAATTTCTATGTGAAATGAAAATTTTAAATAAAAAGTTGCACTCATGCAACATTATGTTTATGTACAATGCACATGATACACATGTTACAAGTATTTTTTAGATCCTTTTTGTCTACTCTTTATATTTTTTGCATATCATTTTCTAATTCTTTATTTTTCTTGGCTTTATTATTTTTTCTATTCTTTATTGGTTTTTTTGGGTTCTTTATTCTTCATCTTTTGCTAATTATTATCTGTTCTGTAAACCCTATCCATACCCTCACAGTCATAAATTACGGTCTTAATTTTGACTAAAGTTCCATCTATTACTTCATTTAATTTGTTCAAGATACCTAACATTTTTTACATAATCCAAGACATGTTTTCGGCTTCCTTTCATGCTTACCTTCCATGATGTCTGTTGCATGTTGACAGCATCTACTATGTCATTATAGAGAAAATTCTCCTCAGTCAATGGAACAGCCCATGCTGACACAAACAGCACACACAGAACTGCTAGTAACTTCATTATCTACAAAATTAATATATTGTAGAAAAAAATATATTGAACTTAAGAGACTGCTTCCCTTTATCAAGTTTTTTAGCCTGTGTATTTTCATTTTTGATTTTTTTTGTAAATACTGTGTCAGAGAAGAACTCGCAAATTCTCAGTCCCTTCAGTTGTATGGTTATGGCAATGACTATTTTTTTTTCAATTGGAAACCATAAGAAATCCAAAATGTCATACAAAACAATTAACTAGTCATGCTAGTAAACAAATAAAATAGAAATTACATGTAGTGACATAAGGCTCTGAAGACATTCTGAAAGTTTTATTGAAATCCACAGTCACTAGTCGAGATTGGGCCAAAAACATGAAAAATAAAATTTAGATTGTTTGATGTTGTCTACCTTAGTAACCCACCTAAAAAGCAGTCTACCAGAAAAAAAGTTATGAGACAACTAAATGTTCAATTTTTTTTTTTGAAGATTTTTCCCTGCTCTAACACTGTTTTCTTGTTTAAAACATATAACTTACAATTTTGTTGGCAATAAAAAAAATTAAATCCCTACCTACCTACCCAACCCTACAATACATTGGTAGGCAACATCAAACAAAGAATGCTTTAAGGGTGGCCTGGAGTGCAGGATAAATGAAGCAACACTGTAACCACACTTTTATAATTTTGATAGTTTAAAAAAAATAACAATTAAATCAGTTTTTTCACCAAATTTATAAAAAATCATTAGCATGATATGACCCCTTTACAAAGAATCATTAACATGATTAATAAATCAGAATCAGGTCCTTAAAGAAGTAGAATTCCACCCATAATATCTTGTCCAGAATATGCATGAAATATTTGCCACTGGACACCAAGCAACCAACAATCAATCAATCATAATGACACATCCTTTTAAAATGACAAACTGATTGAGAAAAAGCTTCAATTCAGAGAATTTGGGGTCCAAAAGTGCATGTCAAGTATTTACAGTTTTTTGTCATATATAGGTGTTGTCTGGCAGAATTTTGAATTACCCTATATTCTTCATGTACTTTGACTTCACCTGAAATGAATACAGTCAATGATAAGATTGTGCTGACTGAGAAATCATGAGCTTCTAAACACATGATTTCAAGATAACCTATATTTGACAAACCTGCTTTATCTTTTTGAATGGTTGTAAATATTTGACATATCATCAGCTGATAAGTCACACTGATATAACTCAACATTTTGTCAAAAACTGCACTTACATTTTTTCAATATATAAAATATACATTTGGTCTCAAGTGGATACTTGTCTCATTGACAATTATACAAAATCTCCTTGTTTCATACATAATTTTATGTATGTAATTTTTTGATTTCATATGTGAGCTCAAATCTAGCATTTTTATGTCTTGAACAATTGTGATTGTCTTGTAATATAATTAATGATGTGGCCAGTTTAAACTTTGGTATCATCAATCAAGTCAATTAAACATGTTTAAAAATACTATTAAGACATGAAATAAGGAGATGAGGTATTTTTGCATATTGATCATGTTGATAAGACAATTTACCAAGGACTTAACCATGTGAATGTAAGCACCTGTAGTTCATTGCATTGCCTTCAACACTGAGCAAAACCCATACTGTATATATGCAAGTTATCAGAAAAGGACAGACATGATAAAATGTCAAACAATTCAAACAAGAAAACAAGAGACCTGATTTTGATTTTTTTATCTGATTGCAGATCAGCATGTTTAATTGAATATTTCTCAGCGCAATTCTACAGTAAGACTGAACAAGTGTTCATTGTAAATCATCATGATCATGGATTAACTAATGTTTTTGCTTTGTTATACATGTACATGTATACTCTCCAATGGGAGGCTAATAAATCATATTCAATCTTATCCCTGGAGTGAGCTGCCAAAAGTACAGCCTAAAAGATCGCTAACTTTCATTGGTATTTTTAAATCTTAGGTTATATTTTCTTAATTGCTTTCACAAGCAAACACAATCCTGACAATAGTTAATACCTAAAGTTATTTAGAAGAGTTTAATGTTTTAATCACAAAATGTCATTGTTGAATGTACCAACGAATGTAGAAATTTGAATAAATGTGCATGAAACTGGTACAATATTAGTTGCTTTTATTTGGCTATGTATACCAGAGAGGTCTGGATGTGGGGCCTTCATTTCTGTATTCTTAAAATTTTAGGTCATTTTTCTCTACTCTATATCTTTTGCCCGTTCACATATTTTGCACCACATCCCTCTCTATTTGTTCCCCTTTTGCATGTTTTGTTTCTCTGACTTCATATTGCAACCCAAATAAGTATTAAACAGAATAAAACTGTTAAACAAAGCATATACATGCTATTTTCAGTACATATGGCTTGCAAGAAGGAAACACAGATTTATCACTGTTCATTTATGTCCAGTGGAAAATATTTCAAAATTATATAGGACAAGAAAAATCAATCATGTGACTGTGATCACTGAATGTGTTTTTTAATGGTCAAGCAAATTCAAAATTAAAGCAATATTGCGTTATAATAAACCGCTATCAACAGATTAGCAATGCTTTTAATATAATTGACTTGCAAATGCATTTATAAATAATTATTTTCAGTAATTTATTTATACATAGTATTACTATATATATCATTGGTTCCCCCTTTATGATCTGATTCTCAACTTACCTATTGGTATATCTTCTATTCAATGGTATCGCTCTGATAATGTTTACACGCTTTTATTAGGTAAGTCACAAGACTAACATTTGTCAGCTGATCAAGCTAGCGGAACAACAAAGTGTGTCATGTGACACGGAACATGTGAATAATAGATTTTGCTGTCTCATTCAATATAATCTGCTGAAAACACGAATTGTGCAACTTCGTGATATGAAAAATTAACAAAAGATTATAAGATGATACATTAAAAGGGGAACTTTTCTTTAGATTTTGAAATTTGAAGCAAAACGAAAGTGAAACCGGAAATAATATAAAAACTACCGGTTTCGAAATAGTCTTGAAATTTATTCGGGTGCAACATTCATAGATATATCTATGAGGTTCTGGACGGGGTTCACAGAATAGATAATAATGACCTTTAAATAAATAGAGAAAAATGGGCCTAAAAGAGGAAAGAAAAGGAAATAATGGAGTGCATAAGTATAAAGAATAACTGTGGGAAAACAATGGTACTGAAAAGACTTTTACACATGAAATTGACATTTATGGGCGTTTTTCAATAAAAACGTGATTTCTTGTCCCAGCCACATTTTAAAAAATGTGTTTGATTTTTACAAGTAATTTTTTGTGCAGTCAGTACATTTAACTAAATTTAACATTTTTAAGCAAAGAAACATACTATTTTTAGAGGGATTAATAAGATGTTGATTCCTGAATGGTTCAAAATAACCAAAATGGCATGTCCCTAGACCTCCTGTCCAACATTCATACTCTAAAATATTGTAAAAAAGGTAGAAATAAATGTTATTTTTACTTATTATAAGTTCTTTAATTATTCAAAAGTATGTTCAGAGCCAAAAGAGGGACGAAAGATACCAGAGGGACAGTCAAACTCATAGATCGAAAACAAACTGACAACGTCATGGCCAAAAATAAAAAGACAAACAGACAAATAATAGTACAGATGACACAACATAGAAAACTAAAGACTAAGCAACACGAACCCCACCAAAAACTGCGGGTGATCTCAGGTGCTCCGGAAGGGTAAGCAGATCCTGCTCCACATGTGGCACCCGTCGAGTTGCTTATGTTATTACAAATCCGGTAAATAGTCTAATTCGGTAAGTCACATTCGTGAAAAGGGAAGGGTATTGTAGTTACGACATAAGGAACATATCCGATATCATCTGTGAAACGGTTATTCCATAACGGTCAACCAACTCGTGATGGCGTCCGTAAAATTTACGAAGGGATGACTTCAACTTCACCATTTGGAACTCTTGGTTTAATAGCTTCCTTGTGAGCAGCAATCCTCTATCAAGGAAATCATGATAGGAAACACAAGCCCGGGAATATCGTATCAATTGGGAGATATATACTCCGTATGCAGGCGCTGCTAGAATGTTGCTACATAGAAATGGAAAGTTCACAATTGGGAAGCTGAAATCATCTCTTTTGTCGTAAAGTTTTGTTTTCAACCGACCCTCATTGTCAATTTCTAGATGTAAGTCAAGATATGAGGCAGACTTAACTGTATCTGTAGTATCCTTTATCTCTAGTTCGATGGGATAGATTCGTTCAACATAGTCACCAAATTTTGTATTATTTAGTGAAAGAACATCATCTACATAGCGGAACGTAGAGTTAAAGGATATTGCTAACTTCTTATCTCTCTTCCTAAGAAGCTCCTGTATGAAGTCAGCCTCATAATAATAAAGAAACAAGTCGGCAAGAAGAGGGGCACAATTGGTTCCCATTGGAATTCCGACAGTCTGTTGAAAAACACGTCCTCCAAACGTAACAAATATGTTGTCAATCAAGAAATCAAGCATCTTGATAATGTCAGTTTCAGAGAATTTTTTGTTTGAATCAGAGTGATTCTTTACAAAGTAGGATTTATCCCTCCCCAAGACAAGATACTTGTATCTACGTTCGCCAACATATTATAATAAACAGTTTTTGACAAAGGGTTTTTACTTTTAGACGGTGTGTCCCTGACATTCCTGACAAAATGTCCACTACGAAACGAACTAATTAAATTTTGCTAATAAACAGTTTTATAAAATTAATGTTTGCAAAAGATATAAACGTTAGGGTGTTACAATAGTGATGCTTTTATAACGGCAGTTAAATTGTTGGCAATAAAAAAATTGAGCACATCAAATGAACCAGAGTGATACCGTATTTTTTGTTAATGTCCACTACGAAACGAGTCAAATCTCCTTCAGATTCTGGTTTTAAAATTATGAAAAAAATATCAGTGTACAGTTTAGTATGTGCTTTGGTGAATATAATCATTTTGTTACTATTGTAATATAGGGATTGTGGGGAATAAAATAAAACATGTGAATATGTCCACTACGTAATGGTCAACTACGAAACAAGTATGGGAGAAAAACGTTTCGTAGTGGACACTACCACTACCATGCAGTCGTTTTTTACTCTTTTTTCAATTATATTCGTGCAAAACAAATAACAAGGGTTAGTTTCATGTAATTTTCAGTATGTTTTTATCAACATAGAATAGGGTTGATGTCAACTACGAAACTTTTTGTCCACTACGAAACGGTTTTGTCAACTACGAAACTAATCAAAATGTCCACTACGTAACATGAGTTGTACCTTCATATGTGAAGTACTGTCTAATCTTTATCGATAAAAAAAATGGTTATCCAATTCAGAAAAAAATAGATCTTTCTAGTATATAAAGTAAAACAAACTGGAATGTCAATAGCAGACATTAAAATGCCATAAGATGTGCGTTTAGAAGCAGTTTCGTAGTGGACAAATGTCCCCTACGAAACAGTACATAAATTATGAAAAAAATATCATTTTAAAGAGTATTTAAGATTGCACTTTTTATTTACAAACAGGTCAATAATAGAGGTATTCAAAATAACTCTTGAAATAAAATTTAAGACAAGTTGATTTTCCATTTTTTTTAGGTCTGAAATTCACACTTTTATTGAAAAACGCCCTTATACTATTCTATAATTATATAAGCTTCAACAAGGAAATAATTAACGAGGCAGTTATATCTAAATGAGGCAGTGCAATAATGTGAAGAAATTAACTTCAAAATTCGGTTTGTTTAATGGTTGAGCCAAAATATAAACATATAAATGAATTCCTAAATATCTTTCATTTCACGTACGCTAATAACAAGCTCCAGGGATATTATTTTTTCCGTTTCATCGTTGGTAATCAAATTGTCTGTTAGAACTTAATAGTGATTAATTTCCTGAAAAGGTTTTTCAATGATAATTAATGATAAACGTACCACATGCACGTCTTAATTTTTTTTTTTTTTTTTTTTACCTATATATACGTTTAAAAATAAATCTTAGACAATTGCTAGTGAAACGTACACTAAAGGTACGCCAAACTCAAACACACAAATAGAACAAAACGATGCGAAATTACAAAAGAACAAATCAAAGTTTTTTAGTCAAAGAGAAACCAACAAAATCATAGCCAACAAAAAAAGAGTGCCCAACACGCCGAATAGACAAACGTCAGAAGAAAAAATAACCGGAAAGACTGGTCCCGGGGGGTCCGCGCCTGGGAGTAATATCAGGTGCTCCGGAATGGCACGAAGCAAATCCTGTTGTCCACATGAGGCTCTAGTCGTGTTGCTCATACACAAAATATACATTTAGGGGTTCAAAATACAGTCTTGAAAGATAGGTAAAAGGCAGAACTTAAAGCAACCTCTAAATGGCTAAATTACTTATACTGTTTAGATGTACTGTGTATTATCAAATCCCTAAGGGTGGCAGGGAAATAGAAATATGGTCACTTTGGTCTTCTTCCAACCAGAAGGGAGTCCTCGGTAACCGAGTGATCTAACTAGTCAAAATACAGCTGTATCACTAGCCTGGTAACACTGAAGTTTTGAGTTCGAATCCCGCACGTGGCAGGTGCGCTCGACTCTAATCTTAATTGACTAGGATTGTCAGTTTTCCTACCGAAGGTCGGTGGTTCTCTCCGGCTTCCTCCAGCAATAACAACTGATCACCAAGAAATAGTACAACAGTGCTGAAAGTGGCGTTTAACACCAATCAATCAATCTTCCTACCGACACCCCCCGTAAAACCTAGCTGAAGTGGGGATCTGTTTTGGATGCGTCGGATGTACAACCCATGTTCGGTCAGAATAGGGACGTTATTTAATCCAATGCCTCGTGTAAAGAGAATGCCAGGCACTCTGCACGTTGAGAACCCTTGCAACAACTCTGTGGATGGCCTGTTACAAGGCAGAATTCCCGTCCCTATCCAATATACCCTCATTTTTAAGTGGCATTTGAAATTTCCCCGGCCTTCATCCCGGATGGCCTCAATTACAGGACCTGTCTATTGTATTCATTGCTTAGTTATTGTTCTTGTAATAAACATGAACGAAATATTTGCCACTGGATGTTAAGCAACCAACAATCAGTAATGTATAATTAATAGTCCAGTGGTTTATGAGAACATGAAAATGTAAAAATGTTATGATTAACAGACATCGAACACGAAGTGAGAGCAATATATGAGCTGGAAACTTTACGACAGGGGAGCCAATAACATAGTATTCCGCATTGCACATATTTTATCTATCCAACGTACAAGGGCAATAACTAAAAAAAACACTTTTTCTTGAAAACTTTTTATTAATATCTTCAGAGAAATGAAGGCTTGAGAGCAAATGAAAGGTGATTTCCATTATACATTATATTTGCAAGGAGCATAAAAGTTAAAAATATTTGATCAGAACTTATTTTCGAAAATGTCAAAGACATTGCTGATATAAACCTATGATATAAGTTTCATAAAATTCTGGCAAGAATAGAACACATGAGAGTGATAACATTGCATTTTTCCATATAATCAATATTTTCAAGGGGCATAACTCTTTTAAATATAAACTGCTTCGCCGAGCGCAGCTGGATACGGCCGCAGAGGTCCAACCCTGAACAGTTGGGGGCAAAAATGGTCACAATATTCAAGCTTGATACAGGTCTGCATTTGGATTGTAATTCAATATTTGACACATTATAGGTTTCTGACACAGAATAAATGTGTCAAAGAACTTGAAATTGGTTGTATGATTTGAATTTATATTCAATTGAAGATTTCTTGCTGTTGTGCAACACACTGTGCTGTTGCGCAATACTTAGTAAATCTGTTTTCAGACTATATACAAAGAATTAGCAAAATAAATTGTAACCCCCAATTTTTTTCTTTGGAAAATTGACAATGTCTTAAATCTCTAGGGAAAATTTTTTTTTTTACCCCATCCGGAAAAAATAATATTTGAAGAGAATTTTCTTTTGAGGAAAAAAAATGCCCCCCCCCCCCCCCCCTAAAAAAAAAAGTTTACACCCCCTTTCCAAAAAAAATAATTTTGAAGAAATTTTGTTTTTGTAAAATGTGGTACAATGTACAAATTAAGAGACATCCATACACTTAAACACAAGTTATTGTCTGAAAACTAGAAAAATGCTTTATTTAGACCCTTTTTGGCCCCTAATTTCTGAACGGTTTAGGCAATTATCCCCAAAATGAAACCCAACCTTCTACTTGTAGTATTGAACCTTGTGGTACAATTTCAGAGCAATCAAAATACTTATACACAAGTTATTGTCCTGAAACTAGAAAAATGCTTGTTTTGGCCCCTTTTTGGCCCTAATTCCTAAATGGTTGGGACCATCACCCCCAAAAACAATCCCAACCTTCCTTTTGTGGTATTGAACCTTTTGGTAGATTTCATAGAGATCCATACACTTAAACTAGAGTTATTGTCCGGAAACCAAATGTCTTTGGACGACGACGACGTGATACCAATATACTTTTGCGGTAGTATAATAATTGATTGACACTGATTTTTTAACTCTTCAAGTACATTGATGATAAAAACCTATCATATAAATTTCATAAAAATCTGGAAAGAGAGCTATCAATGCAATTCTCCATATAATTTATTTTTCCAAGGGGCATAACTCTTTTATAAATAAATGATCGGCACTGATTTTCGAACACATCCAAGACATTGCTAATATAAACCTATGGATGGATAGTTGTCTCATTGGCACTCATACCACATCTTCTTATATTTACATTTATAATATAAGTTTCATAAGGGCTAACGATACATTTTTCCATAAAATCAATGTGTTCAAGGGCCATAACTCTTTTAAAAATAATTGATCGGCACTGATTTTCTAACTCGTCTAAGACATTGCTGATATAAATCAATGATATAAGTTTCATAATAAATGGGAAACGTGTCCATGGGACACAGATGATGCCCCGCTTGCATATAACGTTATAAAGGGACATAACTCAAGAACGGTTTAAGTGATGCTACCCAAGTTCGAACTTGATCTGTGTTTTGTGGTAATAAGCATTGTGTATAAGATTCATTACATTTGGTTGAGGCAAAATTAACTTAAGTTAGAGAATGGAAATGAAAATTTCAGCAATTTTTTATACGACCACAAAAAGTTTGCATTCGTATAATGCTTTCATGTCGTCGTTGTCGTCCGAAGACCCATTTGGTTTCCGGACAATAACTTTAGTTTAAAGGGGCACTAGCTGTCAAATTCATGTGCACCGATTTGACTCAAATTCTCATATTTGATTAATAACAATGTAAAACATTTATCCAAATTATTAAAAGTCTAAAATAAACAATTTACAGAGCATGGGCTCGATAATATGTAGCTTCGTTTCGTGTGTATCTTAGTCTAGACGTCATCTAATTAACTATCGAGTTTACCTCCGAAAACCCCCGATGGCCATATAAGGTATATACACATAAATATAGATATCAATAGATTAAGCTAACTAGTGCAATTGGATTTTTCTAGGTCTATTTAATTTCATATTATAGATTAAAAATATATGTTAATCATAGTTTTTACCTGTATAAGAATGATTTTTTTGTCGATCGAATCAGTCAATCAAATGATTTACCTTTGTTTCACTTTCAATGTTGACATTCTTTTCCTTTAAATTACTATGTGTCACGCACGATTCATGCGTTATCCATCTCTAGCTATGGGTTAAATTGAAGTTCACATGAATACGGATTCAATGAGGTCAAATTATTCACTTGCAAGTGAATAATTAATCTTCAATGTTTCTTAGCTTATTTTTTCAAAATTGAACCATACTTGCTGCTAAAAGCGAATTATTATTTCACTATTTCACTTTCATTAATGATTGAACAAAAAAAATCCTATTTTAGATTTTTTATATATCTCGTAGCTTGTGCCCCTTTAAGTGAAATTTTACCAGAAGGTTCAATACCACAAAAGGATTTTGGTAACAACAGTTTAGGAATTAGGGGCCAAAAACAAGCATTTTTGTAGTTTTCGGACAATTACTTGTGTGTAAGTGTATGGATCTCTCTGAAATTGTACCACAAGGTTCCATATCACAAAGGGAAGGCTAGGTTTGAGTTTGGGGGTAATTGCCCCAAACCTTCAGGAATTAAGAGCAAAAGAGGGGCCAAAAACAAGCATTTTCTAGTTTCCAGACAATAACTTGTGTTAAAGTTTATGGAACTTTCTGAAATGGTACATTTTTCCTGAAAAGGAAATAATCTTCAAAATTTATTTTTGGGGGTTCATACTTTTTCAAGATTTTTCAAAATTTCAATTTTTTTCAAAATTTTTTTTTTGGGGGGGGGACAAATTTTTTGGGGGGATTTTGGGTTTTTTTTCCCCAAAGTTTTCCATTTTTACAATGGTTATACTGATATGGCAGGAGAATAAATTAATATATATAAGAGATTAAGTAAGATTAACAGTATACAAAACACAACCATCAGTATACAAAACACAACCATCAGTATACAAAACACAACCATCAATATACAAAACAGAACCATCAGTATACAAAATACAACCATTGGTATACAAAACACAACCATCAGTATACAAAACACAACCATCAGTATACAAAATACAACCATCGGTATACAAAACACAACCATCAGTATACAAAATACAACCATCAGTATACAAAACACAACCATCAGTATACAAAACACAACCATCAGTATACAAAATACAAAACACAACCATCAGTATACAAAACACAACCATCAGTATACAAAATACAACCATCAGTATACAAAACACAACCATCAGTATACAAAACACAAAACACAACCATCAGTATACAAAACACAACATAGACAACTATATATAGATTTAGCAACACGAACCGTATCAAAAAACAGAGAGTGATCTCAGATGCTCAGGAAGGGTATACAAATCCGGCTCCACATGTGGCACCCGTCGTGTTGCTCATCAAACATACAAATATTAATAGATTGAAACAATCAGAAATACTATTTTATTAATCATAAACAATATCATAAATAATTTAGTAACATTTATTACAAGTTTCAATTAAATACATTGTTTTCATTGCATTTGTATATTTATTTTTTGTTGTGTTTGCTGTCTCAGAGAAAGAAAGCACACACAACTGTTTTCAGTTTTGGTATTGTGTCACTATCAGAAATAAATCATCAACAGAATCAATTTAATTATTTTTACTAAAACCATCACGATTTGTCTGTAAAAATATTGCATTTTTTTTTTTTTTAATAATTCTCTTTCTGGTTAATAACTAATGCTGTATCTCTTGAGAAACCTCACTTATAAAACTATTTTTATCAATTGATGCCCAAATCTTATAAATAAAACATTGTTTATAACACCTTAATTTATCCCCAAGTATTTAATAATTATTCATTTAATATACCTTGGAGACTAGGACAAAATGTTTAAAAGATGATTGCTTCAAATATTATAATTATATAACATGCATATCATAACATTATACTGTTTAAACAAAAACATCTTAACAACCCTTCATATTTCTAGGTACAAAAGACACAACATATTTTTTCTGTGCCTTTACAAAGATCTATTTACTATGATCATGTAAAATCTAACTATCATGTAGCATCAACTTCATAAAAATTTAATTAAGATGGTACATAATGCTACAGGGAGATAACTCTATAAAAATCAGCTGAACGTTTTAATCACATTCTATTGTTAAGGAAATATTAAGCTTCTCTATGATCAAAACTAGTGTTTGTCAAACTACTATATATCCTATGAAATTTTTCTGATAAAATGTGTGGTTCAAGTTTTTAGAAATTTTTATATTTTTGTTAAAGGGTCAAAGTAAATATTTTGTCAAAATTTTATGAAAATTAAACGAGCCAAATTATTTTTAGTCAAGGTGTTTGGTACCACCTTAATAAATAAAAGAAATATTCTTGTAGCAGTTTTGAACCAACACCACCAAAGATTGACTTACTTGACATATATAATCAAGATAAATAATTAAATATTCATTTTAAAAGTCTAGATGGTCTATGTATTAACAATTAATGTACAAACTATTTTGATTTGAAATGTCATTATTTACACCAAAGAGTATAAGTGTAAATGAGTCTTACAGCAAAATGACTTCTATCTGTCGGACTAGTCTACTCTTTAAGGAGGGTAGTATACCTAACCTAATAATGAATTCACGGTTCAGCTAGCAAGCAAGCTAACTAAAGATATTACCTTTACCTACACACTCAAGTCATTTTGCTGTAATGATGCAAAGACAACCCTTTATTAGACAACATGCAAAATTCTATTTGTCAATTATAAATTTAAATCTGTTATTACACACTTTGAAAACCCTTTGGCAATTGTAAACTGGTCTTTCACTAGACAAAATGGGCCCACGCAAATATATATATAGCTGTCTTAACCAATTTTCAATAAGAAATAAGTATTGATATCAAAAGTTTTAAGCTTAACAAAAGATTAAATGCAGTTAAAAGATTTGAAAAACCTTTTCACACAGATAAATTTGCTCTTCCTGCTAGCTCTTCATTGTCAGTGAAAGTTTATTTCTTTCCCAAGGGAAACAATTGATACAAATGGATCTCTAATTACAAGGTCAATTACAGAATTTGTAAGTAAACTATTATAGTTCAAATTTGTGTGGGTTTTTGTATCATTTAACCTCATATCATGCAGGAAGTATTAGACAAATCTATAATATGCAATTTATTTGACTGAATCCAACTATTGTACTTAAAAACAAAGTAGTTAGATTGCAAAATACAAAGCACCTGGAAATAGCAGAAATCAAACAAAAAGAAAATTTAGTTTGCCTTTACTGATCGTTTTCACTATCTATGTGAGTTTCTACTAAACAATTCATCTAACACTTTTTTTAAAATGATGTTCTTTTTTGGCTTTGTGTTTAAGTTCAATGTCAAAATACTCAATAAGCAATGAATGATTGAAATTGACATCACAAACATCCTAAATATAGAAATACGAATGCGGTGTGATTGTCAAGGAGACAACACTCCACCAAGAGACCAAATGATGTAGAAGTTAACAACTATAGGTCTCTGTACAACCTTCAACAATTAGCAAAACCAATACCGCTTATCAAGCTATATTAGGCCCCTAAATGACAAGTGTAAAACAATCCAAACAAGAAAACTTACAGCCTGATTTATATACAAAACAAAAAACGAAAAACAAATATGATATAAAGCAACAATCGACAACCCCTGACTTTCTAATCCACTGTTTTTGGTGCATTTTGTTATATGAATCTAAATACTTTATGACCAGCCACAGTTTATCTGACTAGGTAGCCCAAATACTTTCATAATATTAACCCTTACTTTTTCATGGTTCATGCGAGCTCAGGCTTAAATTTAGTCAATTATATGGCCAATACTACCAAACAAAGTAAATATCATAAAATCTCCAAATAACTATCTGCTTCTCAAATATGTAAAGAATTCCCAAAAAGATGGGTGGCACTGTATATTATCATATACTAGCGTGAAGGTTTAAATGAATCACTCTATACATAAACACTTACTGCACATCAAAAATATACTATGTATTGGTGGTTTATTGAAAAATACCCACCTTTTAATATCTCTTAACACTTTTTGAGGAACATCCAAGGTTAAAACATCAAAGTAAAACCATGAGCTTATGTCGTGACACTTAAATAAAAATCCTACATTTCCAAATACCGATTTTATCAGCTGTCAGCTACCATATGATTTGAAGTTAACAAGATGCACTTCTTCAACATGATATGATTAATGGACAGACATGTCTGGGACACAGACAAACTTCTAATGCTATGATAAAATGTTTTATAATATTAAAAATGACAGACTGTAAAAGTTTATTGTTTGTAGGGTACCAGTTTTCATGGATATCCTGGTTCCCCCCAACCACTAAATTAGGTACCCATTCAATACAATTTTGAATCTGGAATGTGTTTATCTTTAAACCTTGAACTAAACACTCCAGGAGGCTCAACCATAAAAAAATGGTTGTAAGAATTATAAGAAAAAAGAAAATTTTCTGTTGTGGTTGTTTAGGGTCCAAACACAAGTGCCCCTTTCTGGTTTTAATTTTGGAACAGCCCTGATGCAATCAAATGATATTTTTTTAATTTATTTACTTTGTTGTACTTTTCTTCCAAGTATCTTGGACAAGTTGAATATATGAGGCCCACAAACTTCTCATCATATGATTCCCAACACCACTTCTAATTTTTTACTATTAAAGCTTTAACTGAATATAAGAACTTGTGTGGCTTTCTTGGGCCTGTACAAGCTCTGAATCATTAGACATTCTTGTCGTTAATTGTTTTGTCTGATTCCACAACTATTCATTTCCTTCAAGATTTCAATCTTGACTTTCGTTTTTATCTTCTCCCTCAATAGGCCCCTCCTCTTCCTCCTCAGGTTCCTCCTCTACAACCTCATCCTCATCCTCATCATCAGATATCCCTAATTTGTCTAAAGCAGCAGCACGTTCTTTTTGAGATTTTTCAAAAAAATAGTCAAATGCATATTCTTTTGTTAGTGTCATTTGATGAGCAAGAAGTTCTTCATTTTTCTCCTTTTGGAACCTCTGTACTTGAGCAACAAATTCTAGACCTTCTCCCGGAATGTCTAGACCGGTAATGTCATTAAATAACTCTTCTGGTGTAGGAACTCCATGCACATCTCTGCTTTGGAAAAACTAGCAAAAAAGAAGGTATGAATGATATTAACAACTTCACAAATATAGTGAGACTTAATCATATACACTAGGGGCAGAAGTGTTGAAATCAATTATTGCTTTGATTCTATGATTTCAGTTTTACTAATAATTCATGATTATTCATTGAATACTAATTTTTGTGGATTTCAATAGTTAAACCCAAAATTTAATATTCAACAAGGGACTTGGCACTTGAAACATTTTAAGGATGTTCACTTCTCTTGTCCTCTGGTTTTATCCATGTAGTGCCAATAAAAATTTTGCCCACTAACCTTTACTTTAAATTTTCTTTTCATAATTTTATTTCATACAGTTTAAAAAGCCATTTTTCTAAATCTTATAAAATCAAAGTAATTTTTCATCGTTTTTCAAAGAAAAAAGGTGCCAATGTTAAATGTATGAAAATTCTAGAAAGAATATTTTTCTCAGGGCGGAAGGGTGCTAGTTGTCTGAAAGGGCACTTTAGCGTTATAACCCAGATTTTAAGGGCACTGTTGGACAGTGTATAAATTACCTTGAATATTGCTAGGCTCAGCTGGAGAACATTATATTTAAACCATATTCAGAAATTAATGTGTTCTTGATATTGGTTCCAGTAAGAATTTTTTTTTTTATCAAATTATCATACCATGAAGCAAAGCATATCATTTTGATGTTAATCTAAACAAACTTGTACATTTGGTAAGAAAAATATAATCATCAGAAATTTCAATGTTTTATAACTTATACCAGTCGATAATAAAATGCTCCGCTGGGGCGCAGCTTGATACGACCGCAGAGGTCGAACCCTGAACAGTTGGGGCAAGTATGGACACAACATTCAAGCTTGATACAGCACTGAATTTGGATTGTAATTAAATATTTGACACAGCATAGGTTTCTGACACAGAATTAATGTGGTCTAAGAACTTAAAAAAATTTAATTTACCTATTCAAACCATATCATTATTATTTGCTTTTAAATATAAATCAGAAATAACCAATTTAAAATGGAAAATTTTAAAGAAAAAAAAGGAAAAAAAATCCCCCCCAAAATTTGTTGAACCCCCTTATGATTCATCACCCCCAAACTCAATCCCAGCCTTCCCTTTGTGGTATGGTACCTTGCAGTACAATTTCAGAGAGATCCATACACTTGAACACAAGTTATTGTCTGGAAACTAGAAAAATGCTTGTTTTTTGGCCCCTTTTGGCCCCAAATTCCTAAACGTTTAGGGCAATTACCCCCAAAATCAATCCAAGCCTTCCCTTTGTGGTATGGTACCTTGCAGTACAATTTCAGAGAGATCCATACACTTGAACACAAGTTATTGTCTGGAAACTAGAACAATGCTTATTTTTGGCCCCTTTTTCCTAAATGTTTTGGGCAATTACCCCCAAACTCAATTCCAGCTTTCCCTTTGTGATATGGAACCTTGCAGTACATTTCATAAAGATCCATACACTTACACACAAGTTATTGTCCTGAAACTAGAAAAATGCTTGTTTTTTGCCCCTTTTTTGGCCCCTAATTCCTAAAATTTTGAGGAAATTACCCCCAAAATCAATCCCAGCATTCCCTTTGTGATATGGAACCTTGTGATACAATGTCAGAGAGATCCATAGACTTACACACAAGTTATTGTCATGAAACTAGAAAAATGCTTGTTTTTTGCCCTTTTTGGCCCCTAATTCCTAAAATTTGGAGGCAATTACCCCCAAAATCAATCCTAGCATTCCCTTTGTGATATTGAACCTTGTGGTACAATGTCAGAGAGATCCATACACTTACACACAAGTTATGTCTGGAAGTTACAAAAATGCTTATATTTGGCCACTTTTTGGCCCCTAATTCCTTAACTGTTGGTACCATAACCCCCAAAATCAATCCCTACCTTCCTTTTGTGTTATTGAACCGTATGGTAAAATTTCATTGAGATCCATTCACTTAAACTAAAGTTAGAGTGCGAAAACTAATGTGTCTTCAGACAACGACGACGACGACGCCAACGTCATACCAATATACGACCACAAAAATTTTTTTGCGGTCGTATAAAAATAAACAAGTAGTTTTGAAAGATGGAGTTATACATGCAAAATTGAATGTTTAATGTAATTAAATTATCTACATTTAAATTACTTGTTCAAACATATAGTATATATATATATATATGTTATTGAGAGTTATTTATTATCATTTGAATTGTTACAAAAAAGTATTTTTAAGTGCACACCAAAGTGCTCCTCAGTAAGGAGTTTTATAAATATAACAGGTGAGACAGGAGATGATCATATTATATTGATGCAATAATATATTGCAGAAGGTATAAACAGTTACTTTTTTCTCCATCATTGTTAAAAATAAACTTGTTGAGTGCTCCTATGTCAGGAGGATTATAAAATACAAGAAGTAAAACAGGAAGTGAATCTTGTTACATGTATGTTCAAAGTACAAATTTCTTTGATTCTTTAAATTTCATACTCATGGTTATGAAACAAAACATTTTTTACCAATTAAGTCAAAACTATGTATGCCTTTAAAATTGTTTAAAATTCTATTTTTTATGTTATGCCTACTGAAATAAATTTTTTCAGGTGTACATGCTGTACATAAACATTACAAATGGATAACATGTGGACATTTCAATTTTTATTCTATATTAAATATCTAGTATTTGTTCAATTATCTTAAATCCACTAATTAGCAGTAGACAATCATTAACAAAGGTGATAAAACTGCCAAAGCATTAGGTATTGAACTTAATCCCATTGTCAGTTAATTAGTGTTACACAATCAGGTAACAATTTTACCGCAAACGCCGGTAGGCATGAAATTTGGAAATTTTATTTTTTTGAAAAGGCAGAGGGGTGCATTCTTTTACTTTGGTGGGCAGAAGGGCGGGGGTAAGGGCACCAAGGGCGGGCCGCCCTTCTATTTAGGGCAGGCGGGAACACTGTATATGTTAAAACTTACAGATGTCATAGTTTTACAGTCTCTAAACAGGAATTCTAACGCAGCAGGATGCATTACTTCTACAGCCTGGCTAACATCTATGATCCATATTTTATCCTCATACCATAAAATGTTAAATTCACTAAGATCAGCATGCACTAGTTTACAGTCTCTATGCATGGTCTTCATTATCTGAAATCATATTCAACTAATAACTGATGTGTTCTCTATGATTTGATTTTATAACAATTTTTTGTTTGACATTTGAAAAATAAAATGCTCCGCTGGGCGCAGCTTGATACGACCGCAGAGGTCGAACCCTGAACAGTTGTGGCAAGTATGGACACAACATTCAAGCTTGATACAGCTCTGAATATGGATTGTGATTAAATATTTAACACAGCATAGGTTTCTGACACAGAATGAATGTGGTCTAAGAACTTAAAAAATTTTAATTTACCTATTATGGTCCAATATCCAAAATCTTAATACATGGTTAGATTCAGCATATCAAAGAATCCAAAGAATTCAATTTTTGATGAAATCAAACAAAGTTTAATTTTGGACCCTTTTGACCTCAATGTGGAACAATTTGATAAAGGGCCAAAAAATCAAAATACATGGTTAGATTCAGCATATCAAAGAACCCCATATATTCAATTTTTGTTGAAATCAAATAAAGTTTAATTTTGGACATCAAATTGGACCAACTTGAAAACTGGGCCCATAATCAAAAATCTAAACACATGTTTAGACTCAGCATATCAAAGAACCCCATATATTCAATTTTTGTTAAAATCAAACTAAGTTTAATTTTGGACCCTTTGGACCTTAATGCAGACCAATTCGAAAACTGGACCCAAAATTAAAAATCTAAATACACGGTTAGATTTGGCATATCAAAGAACCCCAATAATTCAATTTTTGATGAAATAAAACAAAGTTTAATTTTGGACCCTTTTGACCTCAATATTAACCAACTTGAAAACTGGGCCCAAAATCAAAAATCTAAATACATGTTTAGATTCAGCATATCAAAGAACCCCATATATTCAATTTTTGTTAAAATCAAACTAAGTTTAATTTTGGACCCTTTGGACCTTAATGTAGACCAATTTGAAAACTGGACCCAAAATTAAAAATCTAAATACACGGTCAGAATTGGCATAACAAATAAATAAATGTGGTCAAAGATTTTACAAATCTAATGTGCCATACTGTGCAATTAAAGATTACTTCTTGAAATTTTTCAATATTTGAAATTTGAAAAAAAAAATAATATTTGAAGAATAATTCTTTTTAATTTCTGAAATCTGAAATGAGAAAAAATTGACCCCCACAATTACTTTTTAACCCCCTCCCCTTTTTCCCCCAAAAAATTCTTTCCCTCAAGATATGGTCATAATCTCAATTCAAATTTCCAATGAATTTGCAACCATAATTACCCATTTAAATTTACCATAGTGCTAACTTAATCTATTTTATAATAGAATTTAAAATATGGTGTCAAATCTTTCATATGGATTTTTTTGTAAAAAAAAAAGATGCAACATTTGCAGATATTTTTACTGGTCTTCCTTTATAATAATGCATTTCTTTAAACATAATTTAAAAGCAGTGTAAGGGAAGTAATCAAAACATTGTATGTGGATTACCTCCCTTACACTGTTTTAAATTGTCTTAATTGTTCATTAACCATTACTTTATACATAATTTAAAAGCAGTGTAAGGGAGGTAATTCAAATGATGTATTTGATTTATCTCCCGTACACTGCTTTAAATTATGTTTTGTACTAAAGTATTTGTCCATATAAAAATGCTTGTTTTTTGCCCGTTTTTTGACCCCTAATTCCTAAAATTTTGAGGCAATTACCCCTAAAATCAATCCCAGCATTCCCTTTGTGATATGGAACCTTGTGGAACAATGTCAGAGAGATCCATAAACTAACACACAAGTTATGTCTGGAAGTTACAACAATGCTTATTTTTGGCCCCTAATTCCTTAACTGTTGGTACCATAACGTGGTAATGTACCTTATGGTAAAATTTCATAGAGATCCATTCACTTAAACTAAAGTTAGAGTGTGAAAACCAATGTGTCTTCGGACGACGACAACGCCAACGTCATACCAATATACGATCGCAAAATTTTTTTGCGGTCGTATAATAAATGGGGAATGTGACCATGGGACACACATGATGCCCCCTGCTTGCATATCATATAAAGTTATAAAGGGACATAACTGAAGAAAGGTAAAAGTGACACTACCCAAATTTGTACTTGATCTAAGTTTTGTGGTAATAAGTATTGGGTATAAGTTTCATAACATTTGGTTGAGGCAAACTAAAGTTAGAGACCGGAACCAAAAATTCAGCAATTTTTCCTTTTGTAAAGGGCCATAACTCTAGAACGGTTAAAGTGACGCCACCAAAATTCAAACTTGATCTGTGTTTTGTGGTAATAAGCATTGTGTATAAGTTTCATACCATTTGGTTGAGGCAAACTAAAGTTAGAGAACGGAAACCAACTTTGGGACGTACGGACGGACAAGGGTAAAACTTAATGCCTCTCCGCTACGGTGGGGGCATAAAAAATTGAGGGCAAGTAAGCATGAGATTATAACAAGCTTTTGTGAATATGAACAAATCACTTTTTAACTTTCGTCACAAATAATTTTCAGACATGAATTTTACTATAGAAACATCTTTCTTTGGCAGGGAAACTGACGATCCTTGTCAATAAATATTAGAGTTGAATGCACCTTGCCATTAGTGAGGTTCAAACTTGCAACTTCACTGTTGATGAACTACTTAGACTATCCAACTCCCTCCCTAAAATTCAGTTTTTGGTAACCTTAGGATTAAAGCTACCTTTATTGTCTGTTCAAATGCATCCTGCATATCTTGTGTTGAGAGTTTGACATTTTTTAGTTTGGGTGCTGGTTGCATATCCTTTCCTATAAAACTCATTACTAAGACATGTTTCTTTAACACTTGGACATGTGGACAGGGAACTCCAAATTTCTTCATTCTGGAAATACAAACATGAATAAATTTTAAGATAATTATTCAAAACTTGATAAAATAACTAAATTTGCAACACATTCATCTTAGGGCTGTCCCAGAACTTTTCTTTTTGGGGGTTGGAATGCACTTCTATTAAAACAATGGGTGTTGATTATTTAAGAAAGACAAATAATTATTGGAAGTATTCAATATAAATTTTAAGCGTAAAATAAAAATTCCTTCTTACAGCTTTCCCTCCTTTAAAATTTACTTCTTGAACAGCCCTGATTATATCAAACCAGTTCTCTCATGTAATTTGGGAGACACTACTATATGTCTGATATTGGAATGAATTGGGTTATATTGCTCCTAATGTATTTTTAAGGATGTTCGCTCCTCTTGCTTTTGAATTTTTGCCAGATATTCTGAATCTTCTGATTTTATCCATGTAGTGCCATTAAAAATTTTGCCAACTAAACCCTACTTTTCTTTCTATAATTTGATTACATATAGTTTAAAATGTCATCTTTGAAATCTTATAATAAAATCCTTGTTATTTTTTCATCGTTTTTCAAAAAAAAGGTGTCAATGTTAAATGTATGAAAAATCTAGAGAGAATCATTTCCCGCCAAATTTTCAGTAGCTTATATCTTGAAAACAAGCACACAGACCCTTCATTTTTTTCTGCTTTTATAGTTCCTTTATTAATATACAACTAATTTATAACAGTCTTTTAAAAAGCTTGTTATTTTGAAACAGAGTAGCGAACATCCTTAACTTTAACTATTAAGTTTTCAGCTCTGGGCATTCCTCAGGACTGTGTCATAAATGCAGTAAATTGGGCAGGGGTTCAAATTAACATTTGGTATTGGAAGGTCCAGGACCTTTGACACTCCAAACTGAAAGGTCCACAACCTAAATTCCAGGTCCGACTTTTACTTGAAATATTTCCTAACATAGTAAGATACAAGTAACAAAATTAATGTGCTGTTGGTGTTAGGTCAACTTGTTTCATTGTCAAAGTCACTGTTGTATAAAATATTTAATAACAATTGTAATTGTCTTGTATATCATAAATTCAGATAATCTTTTTTTGTTGTTATTGAGGAGGGTGTCACCATGGGTGGGTGTGTTGTCTCAACTATTGGTAATTCATTACCACTTATACCATTTTATAAAACAGTTCAAATTCAAAGCTGTTTAAGCAGAGACGTATATACATGTATAAATATGTCTCTGGTTTAAGTGTATCATATCTAGTTGCACTATTATAATGCAGAAGTTCCTCTGTGAAAATAAGATAAGAAACTTACTGGTCCTTTAAAATTGAGAAGACATTACCTCTTGGAATTGTAGTATTACGTTTACACTATACAAAAATCTACATGTAATATCAATATTTATTAATGATAAAGAAAATTACTGTCACATTTTTTTGGATTTTGAGATGAAAATTTATGAACTAAAAGTAATTTTGAGTTTCTGTAAAAAAATATTTCCTACTTTTTCTTTCTTTTCAATATATCTTTTGGTTTTCAATTCTAGTGTTTATATTTTATCATCATACATGTATTTTGTCAACTGCCTGGGATTATCATTTTTTCATTGTATTTGATCGGCAAACCCGGAATTACCCTTATCCGCTCCGGAATCGCATCCGTTTTTTGTTATTTTCTTCATTTCCGGTTTATGGCATCCAATGTTTTTCAATGTTGTTTTGTCAGTCAGATACGATTTTACTCGGATTTACACATTATTAGTTGGCAATTTTCGGTATAAAGGTAGCGGTTGAACAAAATGAACATCGCTGTCATGAATAATAATGATGAAAATAAATTTTGAGATTGTTTGGAAATTTTAGTTTAAAAAGGTCGGCAAAGTTTATTTTATTTTCTTTCAAACCGAAGGTCCGTCCGGCGTAGCTTGTAACCAAAACAAGAGTCCGACTTCAAAAATTGAAGGTCGCGGACCTCTGACCACCGCTAATTTGAACCCCTGTTGGGTTAATTTTTCTTGGATCATGTATTGAAACAAAAGCAAAAGGACAAGACTGACATAATTGTTTATTATTCATTTTTTCTAAGGTTACAACATTCAGCAATGAGTATACAATCTAAAAATTGTACAGATTTTTATAGTTATGGTAGACAAATTTTCACAAAACAAAATCATTGTTTTAATTTAAAACATTCTAAACAAATTGAGTTAATATGACTGGAGTTCACATCCATAATTGCATTTTCTTTTTTGAATTCCTTAATATATCAATCTCACCTATTAAGATTTGCTGTTTCTTTCTCTCCCCAGATTCTGATTATTTTCCGTGGATTTTGTTTCTTATAATCATCTCTTGAAAATCTGTGATCACCATCGACATACTTTCCTCTGTTTTTAAATTCATTCAGTGTTGTCTTATATACCTTTAGTGCACATTCCTTTGGCAGCGTCTCACCATTCAGTCTGAAAATATTATATTTCAAAATTATTCTTCATAATTATTTACAACAAACATACAGCATGCAGAAAAATGATGTATGGTGTAAGGGAGACAACTCTTTTTCACAGTTTGGGGCAAAATTCTGAGAACAAATGCTAGCATTTCAGCTAAGAAACCTGACTTTTTTAGTGCATATGTTTTGAAGAAGCACTATTAAGGTAAGACTGTTTCTCTTCCACAAACCAGTTCAAACTTTCTGAAAAATAAAACTATTTGTTCACCTACAGATCCTTAAACATGTTGGCAGAAACAAAACACAGGAATTATTTTTTTGAAAATATATATTTTGCATGGTATATATATATATATATATATATATAGATTGCCTAACAATGTAATTTTAACACACTATTTAGTATGTAAATATAAGAATGTTTAAAATATTTACAAAATGATGAAAATAAACGCAATATTTCGCTAGACTAACTAGCTTTATCAAGCGTGCATCTATCCAGGTGAAATCGGATGTAGATGATAAGAAACTTTTGCAGCTCAATGTATATGTTGCACTTGAATTTAGCTGCCTTGAAAATAATACATAATTTGGATGAAGTTCAAGATTTTTACAAAATTGGTAGTTGAAGTTAGCAACGTCCATTGGCCAATATTACAGGATAAAAAGGACGATGCTGTGTACTAAATTATTCTTTATCTTTCCTGTATCTTTTCTCATCTTTTTCGTTAAGACCATCAGGTTCTAAAGTGTGGAGTTGGTGGATCCAAAAATTTTCTCTTCTCCTTCTCGCCGTGGTGTCCCACTCGGTGTTGACTTCTATGATTTGGAAGGTAACATTATCAAAAGAATGTTTCGTTGAACGAAGATGTCTTGTGAGAGGACAGTTTTTGTTTGTTTTGTACCATGAACGATGGTTATTGAGCCGAATATTAAATTTGTCCATTGTTTCTCCCACATACTGAATGCCACATGTGTCACATGTTAATATATAAATTGAGTTCTCCGTTTTACAGTTGGAATTTGAGTAGATGGTATAATTTTGTTTAGTAACGGAGCTGATGAAAGAACTGCTTGTAAAATTACAATTTTACAAGCAGTTCTTTCATCAGCTCCGTTACTAAACAAAATTATACCATCTACTCAAATTCCAACTGTAAAACGGAGAACTCAATTTATATATTAACATGTGACACATGTGGCATTCAGTATGTGGGAGAAACAATGGACAAATTTAATATTCGGCTCAATAACCATCGTTCATGGTACAAAACAAACAAAAACTGTCCTCTCACAAGACATCTTCGTTCAACGAAACATTCTTTTGATAATGTTACCTTCCAAATCATAGAAGTCAACACCGAGTGGGACACCACGGCGAGAAGGAGAAGAGAAAATTTTTGGATCCACCAACTCCACACTTTAGAACCTGATGGTCTTAACGAAAAAGATGAGAAAAGATACAGGAAAGATAAAGAATAATTTAGTACACAGCATCGTCCTTTTTATCCTGTAATATTGGCCAATGGACGTTGCTAACTTCAACTACCAATTTTGTAAAAATCTTGAACTTCATCCAAATTATGTATTATTTTCAAGGCAGCTAAATTCAAGTGCAACATATACATTGAGCTGCAAAAGTTTCTTATCATCTACATCCGATTTCACCTGGATAGATGCACGCTTGATAAAGCTAGTTAGTCTAGCGAAATATTGCGTTTATTTTCATCATTTTGTAAATATTTTAAACATTCTTATATTTACATACTAAATAGTGTGTTAAAATTACATTGTTAGGCAATCTATAATTTTATTTGTGTAATTGAATTAATCTCTGTACTGATTAATCCACACTCCCATAGATTTGTATGTCATGTGCTGCTATTTATAGGCACTTATATATATATATATATATATATATATATATGAACATGTGTGAGACCCAAGGAAGGCAACTTGAATTTGCCACTATGGGTGGGTGTAGGCAGGTCTTTAAAATGGCTTTTATAGTGGTTACCCTATTTCTTAAGTGCACTAATATTGTGTGCTAGCCTTTAGTTATGATTTTAGAGAATAGTATGTTGCAATACGATAATGTTAACTTACTCTCCACCATAAGCATGGAATACAACCGACTCTTTCCCTGTACTGATACTACCACTAATAGAGTCTAATACTCCATTGTTTACTAGTTTATACAAAATCAATCTTGTCCTTGCATCCATTACTTGTCCCTGAAAAAAAGATACATACATTACTTTATATAACTTGTCAACATATTTTATAGGAGTAACACATTGGGTATCACTTGTGAAGCAGGATCTGCTAACCCTTCCAGAGCCAGTTTTGGCGGGGTTCCTGTTTCTCAGTGACAGTCTTTATTTTTCTATGCCGTGTTTTGTACACATACTGTTGTTTGTCTTTTTGTTGGTTTTTTTTGCCATGGCGTTGTCAGTTTGTTATTTACTTATAAGTTTGAATATACCTTTGGTATCTTCCGCCTCTTTTTACTAGTGTATGTAATTTTATTTTTCATTATCCATTACTTTGTCCAATGAAAGTTCCTTAACAAAATATTTATTGGGTTTCCATTTAGTACAAAACGAATTTTTTTACTGTTTTATGCCATCTTTTTCCATGCCAAACATAAGTTTAATGAATACATATTTTGTCTGTATTCAAAATTCCAAGATATTGGCGATCCAATTACCGGTAAAATGCGAAATGATTGCAACATAACATAACTTTGTCCTTGTCCCAAACCATACTTACTGCAGTTGAGTGTTCCTTCTTCTCGTGTAGTTTTTGATGTCGTTTATTTTCTGCATCTGAATGACGTTTCAGTTTATTGTAAATTTTATTACTGAGCTGCATGTCCATACTTTCCCCATCACCAGAATGGAACTCTGGGGGAAACTGAAAATAGTAAAATTATCATCAGTATACATGTTTGCACCAAGATGGAGGTTGCAGTCTGTGGCAAACACTTCAATCCTACTAGGCCAAAAGCTCATTTCAAGAAAATATTAATACATGTCTTCCTAATTTTTTTATAATTTACACTAGCCCAAACATTGTTTTACTTATCACAGACTGAGTTACTTAGAGGGATTCACTTAAGTTTCTTTTTACATATAGAAATGGGACCATTCCTTTGGAAAACTATCATTTTGATGTATTTGCTATGTATGTTTAAATTCTGATTTACTTGAAAAATTCTAATTTATCAAGTTTTTTCTCAATACTTTGTTTGACTTAAGATTTTCTTACCATAATGCTAAATATTGCCTTCAAATTATAGATACAACTTCCAAAATCAATAAGTGTACTCCCAAAATAGCCATCTGGCCTTTGTTAGTCTTGTATGTTTTTTAAATTTAGTTCATTTATATGTTTTGGAGTTTAGCATGACGTCCATCTTCACTGAACTAGTACACATTTTTATTTAGGGGCCAGCTGAGGATCACCTCCTGGTGGGGGATTTTCTCGCTGCGTTGAAGACCCATTGGTGGCCTTCAGCTGTTAACTGCTCTTTGTCCGGGTTGTTATCTCTTTGAAATATTCCCTATTTCCATTCTCAATTTAGTATCTACAGTACTTGAATTGATAACTATAAGTATTTACAAGTAGTTTGGTTTTTCTTATTTAGTTTGCAGGGGTCTGTTTCACAAAAAAACTTACGACTAAGATTGACTGTAATTATACTGAATTGTTCACGACTTACGATAAGTTTTTTTGTGAAACCAACTCTAGTATTTAAATCTAAGGAGGTTAAATTCAATTTACTTATGTCAGAAAATCAATTGATTTCAAAATTAGAGGTACCCTTTTTGTAGTAATGGTCATATTTTGTTATTCTGACTACAAACCTTCACAAATTATTTAAAACATATTTAGGAGTCTTCAAATATACCTGACATTTAATGACTGACCACTATATATATGCACAGCAGTTTCCATGTCAGGGCCTCTTATAGCTGACTATACAATATTGGTTTTTCTCATTATTGAAGGCTGTACATGGCCTATAAATGCTTATATCTCTCATTGGCAATCTTACCACATCTCCTTATTTTTTTCTATCAAAGGTATTAGTATGGAATCCAAAATACAAGGGGAGCTAAATAAATAAAAGTGGCCTTAAAAGAATCAACAAATCTATCAACAGGCATCTATTTTGCAAAATGGGAAAATTATCAGATGACGAAATAAATGTTCGCAGATGTTGAAACATGGACTACCAAATAAACTTACATCCATCAATTTAGAAGCATTTTTTCGTCCACATATAACCTTGTCATGTTTTGTTATGATATTTTTACCACTACCAGTTGTTCCGTTCTTTTTAAATGATGGTGATTTCTTGTCTGAAAAATAGATGCATGTGTTTGAAAAAAGACTTCACACCCTTTGAAAATTCCACTGATATTTTATTTGTAATATGTTAACATGTGTGAATATCCACAAAAATCGGTACCCATAAAAATAATTGAACCCACAGTAATATTTACCACAGAACTTAACCAAAAGTTAGTGTGCTACATGTATATTCTACTATATTGCACTACTGCAAATATGGCAAATATATGTTTGGTTGAGTTCTTGTCTTTGACACATTCCCCGTTCCCATTCTCTATTCTACTTCAAATTATCAATGTCATCAGTGACAAATGTATGTTTTAAACAGTTTTTCTGGCTTTTCTATACATTCAAGGGGTGGAACCTAGTGCAATATAAAAATCTTCTGACAATTTTCACCATTAATGATGCAATAACTATATATAATTAGTACATGTACATATTTGTTGATTAAGAGAAGATGAAAATTTAAGTTTAAAGTATTTGGTTTGACTCAACCATGGACTAATCCTACTTCTGTCACCACTTGATGCACTGAAAGCATGCTACCATGAAACCAGAGGTTGTGAGGTGGTGAGATGGCTGGGAAAAAATGATGCAATTTGTGTATCTATCTCATTTTTAAGTATGGCTGTTTAGGTGTACATGTGGAAAAGTGGAAAAAGTCAAACCCTTTCTACCAAATGTTTTTATGCAAATTAGAAAGTCAATCTTAAATCATGTTAGAGTTATCTCCCCTTGACATACCCCATGGTGATTTTGGTGGTTGGTAGTCATCATCCTCTTCTTCTTTATCTTCATCATCTCTGTATGCTGGGTGTACACTTCTGTAGTTCTCAAATGAGATAGAAACTAAAAATAGAAGTTTAAATATTTGAAGACTTAAGTTTATATGATTTAAACTTTCAAATTATTGGTTATTAAAACTGACCACACAACATAAATTACAAACATTCAATATCATAATGAAAATCATTTGTGAACCACTATGAACTATAGTGGTATGTATTACATGCTTTGTCAGGACTATGAAAAAAGTATGTTTTTGTGCTGAGAAATGGGAAGTTGACAATTGGAAACTTGAAATTATCAGATTTGTAATAGATTCTAGTTTGAAGTCGTCTTTCTGTATCTATGGATTTAGTCTTAAACAAATAGCACTGTATCAAATGCAAAGTGTAGCTGTCTCCCATGTCATGATCTTACTTGTAAACATATTTTCTTTACTTATTCATGTAATTCTTATTAATATGTCTACCAAGTATCCTTACATGTATATGTGTAGCAGCCTTGTAGTATACAGTGCACATAGCAATTCAGCAGAAAACTCACTCTAACTGAAATCAGGTGATTGCTATTAATTGATTGATTGCCACTTTCAGCACTATTGGCTGTTTTGAGGCAGTCAGTTTTTATTGGTGGAAGAAGCAGGAGTGCTCGGAGAAAACATGACCTTCAGCAGGAAAAATGACAATCCTTGTCAATTAAGTTTGGAGTCGAGCAACCTGCTTTGTGCTGGGTTCAAACTCACAATCTCAGTGTTGACAGGTTAGTAATACACTAGTTGAACTACTTAGACTACTCGAACACTGAGGCCTGCTATTAATTGAAGATGATAACATTTCGTTAAATGATCAAAATTTTTTAACCTTTATGATGTTTATTCAAGAGTTTTTCCTTTGCTAACAATTCCTCATCGTTCTGTTTATCATATTCCAGCTGTAACATCCTAGCCATAAGTTCATCGTCAGCAGTTTCATCAGCACCAGCGACAGCCATTAATGTATCAATATCCACTCCCTTGTTCTCACTGAAATTAAATTGATAAAAAATGCAGCTAATCAAAAATAGACGCCTACATGTATGACCTTTGAAATATTCCAAAACTACAATGTAAATGAATACATCTATGTTAATAGTCTACATTTTGTACTTTCAATATTAGAATAAGAAGATGTGGTATGATTGTAAATGAAACAACTCTCCACCAGACATTACTTTCCAAAGTAAGTCTCTGATAGCATAGGTTGTCTTATTTTTCTGTTCATGATTGGGATACTGTGCAGAGATATTTTTTGTATGTTTTACTTAAAATCATGATGTTGTTCAGATTTTAGAGCAAACATAGAAATCAGCATTTGTTATATAGCCAATCATCAACAATTGATAATGATGCAAAATTAATGTGGTTGGGTCTTGTTAATACACTAAAATACTATGTTCTTAATCAAAAATGATCATATTGAGGTTGAATAATTGCAATGTTAACCAGGCTGTTACATTTTATGCATAAATAAAATCTTTGTATCATTTATGTTTTTTTTTATTTTAGCTATAACATATTTTTGATTTCACATAATAATCGACAAAAGAATGAAAGAAATTGTTGGTTGTTAGTCATGTTTGAACAAATGTATGATCGATAAAATCATGATTTACTGATGATACATGTACATGTATAATATTCAAAGCTGAGAAAACATATATATCTCCAAATTTAGTTACCCCTAAGTCATTGTAAGTACAGTCATGACCAGTTATGTTGGCTTATTCTGTTTATTTGATAAATTTGTACATATAATGCTTGGAAATTAAAACATACAGACTGATCTGATTAGTCAGACTTGATAAGCGTATTGTTGTAAAAAAAAAATTGTTCCGACATGACATTTTCTCCATAGGAAATATGCTCCAGCGGAATTTATATCACAAAAAATTTATACCTGGAATATATATTATAAGGAAATATGTTCCAGCACTGTGAAATTTGTTACGGAACTAATTTTTTTACTAAATGTGAAATAAGTTCTAGGTATTATAGATTAACATGATGCATTAACTTTATATCAAGCAAAACATTCTATAGTTGTACCTGACAAATTTAAAATACTCATCATTGAAGTCTTTAAACAACACAAGAACATTTAAAATAAAGTAAATCATTTAGAAATTCAAACTAAGTCAGCATATATATTGTACGTAGATAATTTGATTAAAAAAAAAATGCACAACTAAGATTAACAACTGTGATAAATATTTAATACACACTATTTCATTTTTCTACAAACTCTGAGATGAAGTAACATATGTTTAATTGCAACATTCATGATATTCATAAATAAATGATTGATCTATAGAAAAATTCTGAATGATTTTTCTTATTCTTCTCTTTCATTCTTTTCTGTCTCATTAATGTCATTTGGGTAGTTTTTTTTTATCAAGAATGTAATTTAACATTTTGCTATACTCCACAGGATCCATATTGGATGTTTACACTTTTTCTTTCTTACATTATCAATATAATACATGTTTTTATAATGTACTTGAATGAAAACTTTAAACTCACTGATAATGATACTCAGCATAAACGATAACTTGTATAACCAGTGGAACATATTTCACCAGGTAAGGAAAAAATCTCACAAACCCAGAACTTATTTCACTAGGTACATGTATTAGGAACCCAGAATTTTTTTCACCAGGTAAATTGTGGAACTTATTTTATAGAGATGGAACAAATTATTTAGAAACTATCTGTGAAAAAAGTTCTCCCAGAATATATTTCCTGTGATACTTATTGCACTGGAACTTTTTTCACAGGAACAAATTTTGGCTCACATTTACACATCTGGCATTTAGCTGAATTTTGTCTCTGAATGACCCTAGATCTGCTCTGAATAACCTTCGGACGTCACGCAACAATCACTTTTTAATTGTGACGTCAAATTTTTTATTGTGATGTCAAATTTTACGGGAACTTGTGTGATTTTATGTAATAGTAGACCAATTTGCATACAAGTGTAAATACATTTGTAACTCTATTGTATAATTGTACAATTCTTGAATATTCATGATATTTGCTTAAACATTTTTTTCAACTTGAAAATGTCATGAATGTCATGCATGAAATTGATAAGTCCAAATAATTATGAAGTTTTGTAGAGCTTTTTGATATTTATTTTTGGGACGCCTTCTGCTTTGGGAGGGTTAACAGCAAAACTCAAAAATAGCCTTCCTAGACGTCATAAGTATTTGGACTAGAAATTTCATTTTTACTATAATATATACCTTTCAAAAGTGTCAAACACATTTTTCTGTTCCTTTCCAATAAATTCTTCACTCAACTGTTCATTCATTACATCTTGTAGGCAGCTTGGTATTGGAGTTGATTGTTGTGGAGGTTTGCCCCAGGGCGATGGCTTCGGTACACTGTCCATTTTCGTCTGGTTTATCAATGTTGTCTGTTCTTCCATGGGCTTGGGAATGGTATTGCTGTGTCTGTAACTGAAAACAATTACAGGTCCTTCCATGAAGTTTTTATTTCTAGTATAAGCGATTTCTATTTTAGACGAAATAATTATTTAGCTAACTGTAACTTGTAAATGAGATTCTTTAGTTTGTATTTCCAGTACGTTTTATCAGTTTCGGTTTGAATTGAAACACTGCACGTATGAGGTAGCTCTTATATGTTTTAGTTGTTTATTAATAGCAAAATTAAACAATCAATTCAAAAATAGATAAATTTCTAAATGTTGTGAAATACTTGCAATTTCCTCCTACTGGTTATTCCCCTTGTTAACTTCCGTTTTGTAACTATGGGTGCGTTTGGATATCCATCTATAAGGGAGCTATCATTTGATTTCTAGGATGAAAAATTTGGTCCTGCATTTTTTTTATTTGTAATCTCCTTCCTGCCTTTTTATTTTTCACCCTATTCGGTCCTGCCCTTTTTTATTAGTTTATCCTGATTTTTTTTACATAAATTGTCATCCTGCCTTTCAAGTTTTTTGCAAAGTTGCTCATCCTGCCTTTTTTTTATACTCAAAACTCCTGTCCTGCCTTTTTTTTCAAATTCCATCCTATTTAAAGTCAGTACATATAAATTTTAAGTAACAAAAGCTTTGTAGAGCTGTCAACCAAAATACCTAATAAAAATACAATGCATGCACAATAAGGTTAATTACGATTAATTTTGCAAGTGGCAAGTAAGAACACTGTCAGTATATCAACTACAGTAAAGCATAGGTAAAAAACACTAGATTGGGGCGCACATACTCGCCGGGGACACACTTTCGCCGTTTTATGATTTTGAGGTGTAGAAACTTCAAAGGATTGCTGAAATGGAAGAAATATGCCGGTAAATTATATTTTTATAACAAATATGATTATTTTTTAAACTTAGAAAAAATTTCGGCACTTACCGCAAAGGACCGAAAAACGGACAACGATTTTCGGCCAATTTCCTGAATGAAAAAAAAGATTTCAAAGAAGTATTTCTTAGTAATTCTTAGACCGATTGCCCTAAATTTCAGTTCTTTACACCTTTGAAATGTCTGCTATTCATCTATAATGAAATTGATTTGATAAATATTGTTTAAAGCTGCAGTTATTTGGTTTTAAATAGATGTGTAAAAACGGCGAATATGTATCCCCCTATGAGAAAACATCAGAAAATTTCAAATAGCCTTTAATCTAATTTTTAAGATGAATTTTTGTCAGAGAAACACGTTTTCAAGCTAAGAATATTTTGCTTTTGATGTTATCTTCATGTAAAAATATCAGTATACTTCAAAAACTTAAAAGTCTGAACCTAAACTGCAGAAAACATGGAAAGTTATGGCGAAAATGAGCACCCTACTCTATATAAGCACTTAAATCAATACTTGTTGAGGTGACTAAATCAAACTCTTTTCTTTAAGATTTCCACAGCCAATCACATGGTTCTTAAATGAAATAAACCACTTTATAAGTTTCATGCATCAGAAGCGTTTTTTTATGGATTTAAATTACTTTCATAACCAAGAACACTCGGACCTAAACATTTGAAAGCAACAAAAGGGCTTACGCAGTATGCCAAATTCATCTATATTTTTGTAATTAGGGAGCGGCCATTTGACTTTTTTGGGGGTGGGGGGCTAGGATGAAAATTTTTGTCCTGCATTTTTTTTTAGTTGTAATCTCTGTCCTGCCTTTTTATTTTTCACTCTATTCGGTCCTGTTTTTTTGTTTTTTTTTTTGTTTATCCTGACTTTTTTTACATAAATTGTCATCCTGCCCTTTTTTTTTTGGCAAAGTGTCTCATCCTGCCTTTTTTTTACTCAAAACTCCTGTCCTGCCTATTTTTTTCAAATTTCATTCTAGCCCCCCCCCCCCCCCCCCCCCCCCATAAAAATCAAATGGTAGCTCCCTTATAAACTTTGCATGCTGATAATATTCGTGTCATTTTTCAGTGCGCATGGGATCTTTAGACTATACACGATACATGGACATCGAAGACACACTTTTCCTGTGAAAATGTATCTATCTCTATATGGTAAGGTATAGTAAGTTGGAAAACGAACCGTTAATTAAAACTTTTAAAACTTTTACATGATTTCGTATATATACATTCCTTTTGTTTTCAAACAAATAATTGACAAATTAAGCTGGCTAAATGTTTTCCGTTGTAGAAGTACTAGTGGTGTATTATTTCTTTTTTCGAAAGCAAAAAATCAATTTGATCATGCGGTATAGATATTTTAGTCAAATTCCGGTTTAGAGATTATTATGAACAGCGGGAAAACACTATAGCCGAATTCAAAAAAATAATTTCTTTTAATAAAAATATGATCTGTGTATGAGTCCTCGATCTCATTTAACAATAATTTTAATATTAAAGATTGCTTTCTTCATTTTATCCATTTTCGTTCGATAGATATACTCTTATTATTTGCTTTCCATCGTGTAAAATGAAAGACAAAAAAACATTTGAGATGTAAACTAAGAAAGAATTGACAAGACATGGCGGTATCAGGAAAGTATTGCTATATATTGGAAAAAAGTATTAAAAAAACAACAAAAGAATGAAAAAGAAAATAAAAAAGCATTCGTCCATTATGTGTCTTCTACATGCTGCAAAAAACCCTATTACATTTCTGAACAAATAGTTCGCCATAAAAGTTAAACGATCAATTTGAATCTTATACTTAAATGCGGACAGCTGCAGGAATGATTTGATATAATTTATATACGTTATATGTGTGTTACTTGGTTTTGAATTCGAATGGAAGCATTTTGGACTGTCACTTAATTTATCGTCATGACATATGTTGAAATCACATTTTTGAAATGATAATAGACATGATACAGTTATATATATAAAGAAAAACTAATGTAGACTATGTATGTTCTATTTTTGGTTAAAATTAAGGAATTTGCATCATATTAAAACTTCATCACCGATTCGAAGCTGGCCAATTTCCTTCAATAATTTTTATTGAACACTAGATTTAAAAATGAATTTCAAGCTTTTCATTAATCATTGTCCCCAGCATTGTCCTTGTAGCCCAACGCTAATGTGAATTTACGGACAACTAGCGAGACAAATCACGAGTTCGAACCTCACAGTCGGAAGGGGTGATATGCACTATATTGAATATAGCTTAGCTTAACTTTTAAAAAAGTTAACTAAATACATGCGAAAATAATATTAATCATGTTAACGGAAGTTTGTGTTTTTAAATTTTTTGAAATGTTGTTTTCTGTGCCTAACTTCACCAACAACGCCTTTTGCTACATTGCCGCACAATGATATGCATGCTTTCAATGTTTCCCCTACCATAAATCGAAGTTTTGTATTTTAAGTCACAGTAAGTGTTTACTTATAAAAGCGTGTTTTCTAATTTACTCTGTAATTAAATATGCGATGAGAAAGAGTCCTTTTTGTATCCCTTTGTACATAAGGTTGAAAGAAAACGAGCCATGAAAAATTAGCAAAAAGGGGAAAGATTTTTTAGCAGACCCTAATTGCTTCATGACCTATTTATAGGAGTAAACCATCATTTGATTTTGAAAAAGTACAAGGAACATTCATGTTTCATCAATGCTTTATACGATATTCGTGTTATTAGGGAAACTTAGACCAATACAAGTGTCAGTGACCAGTCAATGACTAAGTTAAGATAGGCGAATAGTTTAAAAATGTTTTAACCTCTGTTACTATCTTGACTATGTAATATAGGGTGTCATTATATATATCTCTTTATCTAAGTATTACCTTACAGATATACCAAGATCTTCCGAATATGTAATAGTATAGATTTATGTATCTCGAAACTTTTGATAATAAAAAAACTATGTAACTTGTTTTATTATTTCCCTATGACATATATTTTATATCTATCTTTTTTTTTATAAAATCGATCTAATTTCACCACACACTTAATACTATTACCATAACATCCTATATTGCTCATGATGAATATTTAATGTTATTGTGTGATTTCATTGAAAATTTCAATTCTCACATGTTTTATAAGAACTATCATTTATTAACAATTGTAGTATGATGTAGATGTATCTTGCATGACAAGGGCTCATGATTGGTAAGTAAAAAAGGTCTATTGTCAGATCTAACGCACTCGGAAAGTTAGTATTTGAATTTTTTTAAAAAGTACAAAAGAGTACATACATGTACATAATTAACTAACTCTAGTATTACACCATCTTCGCTAGCCAAAGGTTACGATCCAGAGGAGGAAAGTGGATCGTAACTCTTGGCTAGCGAAGATGGTATTACACTGATAATTCACAAAATTTAACGTTTATTATTACCAAAACATGTGATAAAACTGACAGAATGAAATTCCCCAAGCATAAAAAGGGGAAATAATACAGTCTATAGGTATCTGTGACAGTGCATGCATATCCAGAAAAAAGAACAAATCAAGAATAATATAAATATGGCTATAACGAGAGAAAGGGCTGATAATTATAATTGCCCCTGAAAACCAACATAAACATTGTAACCACCGGTAGTTCCGAACCAATATAAACAAATGATGATGGGATTTGATTGTCAATACGACAAATATCCATCAGAGTCCAAATGACATGGTATAAGCAACTATAGACCACCGTACGACCTTCAACAATTAGCAATCCCATAACATATAGTCAGCTTTAAAGCCTTGATATGACAAAATGTGAAACAATCCAAACGAGAAAACCAACGGCTGGATTTAAAACAACTAAAACAAATAACAAACAACAAATATGACAGACAGTAACCCATGACAACCATTGAACTACAGTCTCTAGACTTGGGACAGGCAATTAAAGAATTTGGTGGGATTAGATAACCGTGTTTTTAGAATAAAAAAATCTTAAATTATCAGAAAGACATTTAACTACATTGACTGCACCATCATCGACAGCATGTTTCATTACAAGAAAAAAAAAGATCGGAGCTTAAAAAAAAAACCAAAAACAAAACAGATGAACTTACATTCCAAAAAATAAACTGTTCGGATTACAAAACTTTAGCTAACCAAGGAAGAACGTTTATCCCTATGTTTAATGTTAAACAAATACTAACATAGAACAGCGTATTCTAGAAATTTTCTACCCTGGGCAAGTTGTAATACACGACCAAGCTATATATTCATGTTATTTACAAGATATTAGTTGATTTATCATGGAAGCGTTTTACATATGATTTCAAACTA